GCCCTGTGCTACCCACAACAGTGGACACCTCACCGCAATGCATAGTAGGTGTTAGTATCCAGGCTCAGCGCTGATTAGTTTACGAGATATGCTAAAATCGGATGCATTCTGCGCGATTTGGTAACGGACTTTCTTAATAAAATGGGTTAAATCGCTCTGGAAAGTTTTTTTTCTTAACTAAGCGACCACATTGATTCCTTTGCACACTCGTTTTTTGTATGGACGGTGGTTAAGCAGGCACAGTATTGCATTGTCGTCATCGTTCACGCATAAAAGAAAAAAATCTTTTATTTTTCCAACTGCTGAACAGTGAGGAGTCATTCAGCGTCCTATTGGTCGGTGATGAGTGCCAGTACAGGAGATTAGCGGCATCGTCTGGTTGGCATGGACGTCTGGTTGGCATGGACGTGGGTGGGTACAAGGAATACAGGGGGGGTGGGGGGGGGGGCTGTATCCAATTTCCCCACCCACCTCCCCTTCCCTTGCTCTTCGTAGTCTGGTGCCTCGACCCCGCTGTACCCTTGAGGCCTGGAGCAATTGCACCACCTGTATACCTGATGGCTACGTGGCTGGCATGAATAGATGTTATGCAACTTGAGCGTGAATGTGCCAACTCTTCAGTAATCTGAATGGCATAATGAGCATGAAGTTCAATCGGTGCCATAAATGATAATGCATGCACGTTGTCTGCGTCCCATTTTATTATTTCCAATTGTATGTGTGCCAGAGTATACAGAACTGTGTACACCAGGTTTGAGTACATTAAGCAAACACTGCTTATTATTACGCGTGATTAAAACGGCATGAAGCTACAATGAGGGAAAAAAGTATTTGATCCCCTGCTGATTTTGTATGTTTGCCCACTGACAAAGAAATGATCAGTCTATAATTTTAATGGTAGGTTTATTTGAACAGTGAGAGACAGAATAACAACAACAAAAATCCAGAAAAACGCATGTCAAAAATGTTATAAATTGATTTGCATTTTAATGAGGGAAATAAGTATTTGACCCCTCTGCAAAACATGACTTAGTACTTGGTGGCAAAACCCTTGTTGGCAATCACAGAGGTCAGACGTTTCTTGTAGGTGGCCACCAGGTTTGCACACATCTCGAGGGATTTTGTCCCACTCCTCTTTGCAGATCTTCTCAAAGTCATTAAGGTTTCGAGGCTGACATTTGACAACTCGAACCTTCAGCTCCCTCCACAGATTTTCTATGGGATTAAGGTCTGGAGACTGGCTGGGCCACTCCAGGACCTTAATGTGCTTCTTCTTGAGCCACTCCTTTGTTGCCTTGGCCGTGTGTTTTGGGTCATTGTCATGCTGGAATACCCATCCACGACCCATTTTCAATGCCCTGGCTGAGGGAAGGAAGTTCTCAACCAAGATTTTACGGTATATGGCCCTGTCCATCGTCCCTTTGATGCGGTGAAGTTGTCCTGTCCCCTTCGCAGAAAAACACCCCCAAAGCATAATGTTTCCACCTCCATGTTTGACGGTGGGGATGGTGTTCTTGGGGTCATAGGCAGCATTCCTCCTCCAAACACGGCGAGTTAAGTTGATGCCAAAGAGCTCCATTTTGGTCTCATCTGACCACAACACTTTCACCCAGTTGTCCTCTGAATCATTCAGATGTTAATTGGCAAACTTCAGACGGGCATGTATATGTGCTTTCTTGAGCAGGGGGATCTTGCGGGCGCTGCAGGATTTCAGTCCTTCACGGCGTAGTGTGTTACCAATTGTTTTCTTGGTGACTATGGTCCCAACTGCCTTGAGATCATTGACAAGATCCTCCCGTTTAGTTCTGGGCTGATTCCTCACCGTTCTTATGATCATTGCAACTCCACGAGGTGAGAACTTGCATGGAGCCCCAGGCCGAGGGAGATTGACAGTTTTATTGTGTTTCTTCCATTTGCGAATAATCGCACCAACTGTTGTCACCTTCTCACCAAACTGCTTGGCACAATGGTCTTGTAGCCCATTCCAGCCTTGTGTAGGTCTACAATCTTGTCCCTGACATCCTTGGAGAGCTCTTTGGTCTTGGCCATGGTGGAGAGTTTGGAATCTGATTGATTGATTGCTTCTGTGGACAGGTGTCTTTTATACAGGTAACAAGCTGAGATTAGGAGCACTCCCTTTAAGAGTGTGCTCCTAAAATCAGCTCGTTACCTGTATGAAAGACACCTGGGAGCCAGAAATCTTTCTGATTGAGAGGGGGTCAAATACTTATTTCCCTCATTAAAATGCAAATCAATTTATAACATTTTTGACATGCGTTTTTCTGGATTTTCTTATTGTTAATCTGTCTCTCACTGTTCAAATAAACCTACCATTAAAATTATAGACTGATCATTTCTTTGTCAGTGGGCAAACGTACAAAATCAGCAGGGGATCAAATACTTTTTCCCTCACTGTAATTAGTTATCTGACGTTGGCCCAATGTCTCAATGACGTCCCGGCATCTCGCTATGCGCCCAAAAGCAATTTGGCCAAGATCGCAACTGAATGGAATGTCCGATAGACCTGTTGGAACGAGTTTTTGTTTTGTAGCCGACCGAGGTAAGTTGAGCAAGATTAGAGACACAATGATAAGACATCTTGACTTTCATTCAAGCGTAGTTGAAGATATCTTCAAAAGTCTGATCTTGCTGATCATCACTATTGTTTTATATAATCTAGACAGCTGTTTCTTGCTTAAGTCATCTGTGTGACAGTGCAGGCTACTGTGTGTATGTCCTTTACACTGATTATGACAAAAAGACCAACTTAACACGTGTGTGTTAACATTAGCCACTGGTTTCCCCACGCTATTGCTAATGGTTGAGATGAGAATCGGCTACTTGGGAAATTGTATTTTGCATGACCCTGGTTTGCACAATTTGTCCAATGATTGAAAGAGGGAAAATGTAAGTCCTTGAGTGTATGATGGTAGCCCCAGTGCTGTTATAAATTGTTGCTTCTCACAGCGCTGTGTGTATTTTGGAGTGTGCAGTCCCCTCTTCATCCTACACCGGGCTGAATATCCTTGTCTTTTAATGCCCCCATAGCTGCACATGTATTTATGTCCTGTTTTCATTTATTCATGTCCTCAAAAAAAGCTGATAAATCAAACATACCGGAGGTACCTTTTTTAAAATAACCCCTGCTGACTTCATCGGAACACAATAATATAATCCACCTCCGTTAATTTGTAGCGCATCATCTCCCCACTGGTGGCCACGCGATGAACGTAAAAAGTGAACTGTTTTTTTATGGACAGTGAGATTTTGTGGGTTATCAGGTTTTTTTATTTCAAGGACGCCCCTCAATTTTGCCAACCCTTACTGGCCAGCATGGTGAGGTGTGGTCCAAAAAGACACCAGAATCATAATATTTATTTATTCTGGAGGAATCGATGAGCTATGAAGCTGTTTTTCACAGATGTCCAGTAGGGGCGGGTCAGAATGTTACAACAACAAACGCTAAACAAAAATATGATAGGAGTGCAAATTATAGGAAAGTTAAACAAATCACTAAAAATATACAATTAAAACTGAACATTGTTTTAATGAAACATGGCATAGGGTAGGCCTCCCAAACGACTGTAGATATGTATTATCGTCTTCATAAATGGAAGGATCTGCTGCTGTGAAATTGTGAAGCCCCAAAGGTCTGCATCATCCCAACGGCACCTGTGATGTCATCGAACGTAACAGTGGTGAATATTATTGTCATGGGCTTGGGTGGAGGGGGGCTCTCGAGGAGGGTACTGTGGCGTCAACAGGGGTTCAAATAAAGAAACCAGAGACTGCCCTGGTGCGCTCCAAACCTGTCCAGTCCGGTCTTCATCTATCACGAGGCCAGGACATGCTGTGGGTTTCTCCGAAGGGTTCTGACACGAGTAAGGCGGTGCCCCCTATCTGCAGGCTGTTTACAAGCGCGAGCGACGGGCAGCCTCAAACTAAACTTAAGTGAACTCCCCCGGCGCCGTATTTTTTCACCTGCACACCGAGATCTCGTTTTATCCTTAATAATCATCATTGTCTTCATAATTGCCAACCCTTTACGCACTAGCCGTTCAAGTATTTTGGTGGGGCAGAGTTTTGTGACTTGCTGAACAACACGCATTTGAACAATGACAGTAACAACAGCTACGAATAGTTTTATGCTGTCAACGTTCAATGATCTGTTGCCAAAAACCAAACTTATTGTTTTTTTAATTAACAATTAACTTTGTGTAAGCAGCAACTTGATACACAGCACTTTGAACACAGCCTTTATCCATTAATCTTAAGGTGCAGCCCTTAAATACTGTGCACCGTTTCAGTCGTGTCGTGTGAAAGTCCCGTATAATCGGTGACGTACAGTTTTCTTTACTTGCTCGTGAAAAAATACTTATTGGTAACTTTTCTTTGTATTTTTGTGCTGTTGTAACTTGCTGACCTGCTATACTGGACATCTGTGAAAAAAAGAGCTTCATAGCTCATCGGATTCCTCCAGCCTAAATAAAGATTCTGATGTATCATGGTATCAAATGTCTTGCGTGAGGTCGCGTGAGAGCACTGCAACATGTAAACCAAAGATGTTGTGCCTGGGTCTTTTTGACCCCAGCCTGCATTCTTAGGGTTAAATACATTTGTTAAGCATTTTCTTCGACACGCTTCAGTTTTCTTGGCAGTTTCCGGGACAGAAGCGAGAGCTGTTGGAATAGACGGCGCCCCGTTTTCGGGGCTGTGAAAGTAAAATGGTCTCTGTGCCATTCCGTGTCTGTTGAAAACTTGCGTTTGAATCATTTGTGTTTTGCTGTCTCTCTTTGCTTGGCACCATCATCATCAGCACCATCATCATCACCACCACTATCAGCATCACCATCACTGTCAGCGTTACCAGCACCATCGTCGTCATCATCAATATTATTGCCCTGTATTCGAGGCTGTAAAAGTAAAATCGTCTCTTTGCCTTTGTGTCCAATGAAAACCTGCGTTTGAATCGGTGTTTTTTGTCTCTCTTTGCTTGGCAGCGTGCGTTCCACGCCTCACAAACTCCCCGACCGTGATAGTCATGGTTGGGCTGCCTGCCCGTGGCAAGACCTACATGTCCAAGAAGCTGTCGCGCTACCTCAACTGGGTTGGCATTCCCACTAAAGGTATGATTGAGGCCCTCTTGGCTTGAGATCTGCCACACAGGCCGTGGGAACATTGACATTGGGCTGTGCTACACAGGGGCTTTGTGGCTAAAACATAGTATGCTGTGTAATTAAATAAAAAGGCATACTCGGCAAGATAAAAAAACTTAGATTCAATTACCGCTCCCAAATAATAAAATTTGTCATTTAGAAAAGTTTTTTTGTGTAATTATTTTAAATGAATGCATGAATTTTATCAATTTAAAGGTTTAGCTTATGACATTACATTTTTTGTAATTTCCATATTCTAGTGGAATATTGCAAAGCTAAGCAGGTATTTGAGCCTGGATAGTGCCTGGATGAGCGACCACCGTGCATACAGCAGCAACCTGCACTGAACAACGTGGTGAAGTCTGGTCAAATAACCTCCTCACAAAACGTACGGCATGGGGAGACCCTCATCCAACAGTAGATTGACAAAAGGAATGTACATGTACACATTGGAATATGTAGATTGAGGTTTTAGGTTAAAGGTCAATCACACTGAAATTAAATGTGGAATTGATGTAGGTATATGTGCACATACTAATCCATTCTCAATGTTTTGCCGTTATGTTTTCTAATGAGTAAAACACACGTGCATTTGTTTTGGACTTGGACAATTCACATTGCCAAGTGCAATAAGTTCATATTTTCTTGCCGTGGTTTTCACACCTGATGATGATTGCTTGTGTTGCAGTCGAAACGTCGTGAGAATTTTATTGTTTTATATTTTTATTATTTTATTTTTTCCCTTCTCAGTGACTTTACTGAAATAACCAAGAATATGAATAAGTTAGATTTCATTAACTTTTAATGTTGACTTGTTTTTTTGCATACAATGAAAACTGGATATTTGTAAAATAAAAACAACTGTGACTTGCCCAATAAACCTTTCGTAGGTGCAAACATGTGTCGTATGCACAATTCAGGGCATATTAGGATGCTTGTTTACCCAAGCAAGCCTCGCTGACTCTCATGAATCTTTTTCAATGTCGTAATTTGCGGGTACATTTTCTAATTTTCACTACAACGCAGGCACACATTGACATCACATGATCTCTAACGTCCACTGTGAAGCCCACGGGGTGCATGTTTTTGGTTAATACACTCACAGCATTAAGTATGTGCGTGTGTGCGCGTCTTTGTTTTTTAGCGTTCAATGTTGGGCAGTACCGTAGAGAAGCCACGCAGCTCTACAAATCGTACCAGTTCTTCCGGCCAGACAATGAGGAAGCCATGAAGATCAGGAGGTAAGTGACTAGACTGTTCGCTATGAGTCACGGTGGAGAAGTTACCCTTTTGGCCTTAACCTTATGGGAAAAATGTTGGCTCTGTGGCGCAGGCAGAGGTTATTACGAAAAGCACATGATATTGGTGCTTTAAATTAACAGAAGTGCTCTTGAGAATGGGGTTTTCTGGTTAACACGGCATGTGTATTTATTATAAAATGTCACATTTAGTGGTTTCATTTTGGGTCACTACATCATTGGTGGCTTTATCCGATGAGCACGGTTGGCTACGTACGGTGCTAAAGAAGTTCAACATACATCCTGTCAAAATCCAACAGGCAATCTATGTAGTATTACATAAAAAAAATTGCGGTTCACTAGAATATATCAGTTGTTAATGTGTCTATATTAACTGATTTTTCTACGTTGACAGACGTGGCTTTTGATTGGATAATATGAACGAGGGTGGAGCAGCGACGTGGTCTGTGGTTATCGCACTGCGCCTTGCACCTGAGTTTGATTGCCTGCCACGTCTGTAACATTAGCCATGTTTGTGAGTGACGGTTGTTATTGATATCTGACCCTAAAGGCCAGTTTGTTAACATTGATTGTTATGCTCATGACGTATGCATCGAATTGTGTGTATGTAATAATTTGGCAACTTTTTGGGGTTATATTTGGTGTAGGTAATGGGTTCATGTGACCCCTACAGCCACTAGAGATGCTAAATTTACCCCAATTGATTGTTCTTCAATAAAATAGGCAGGTTGAATTGAGGCAATTCGTCATTTCAGGACTGCCTATGAAATCAAGTTTACTTTGTTTTGACCAGGTGACAACTCGAGAGACCCAGGTTCGTAATATGTGCAAGAGCAACCTGGGTCACCAAAATGAGAAAAGCAAAACAAAATAATGTACAGCAATGAAGAAAATATAAATCACATTGTGCCCACGGTGCACTGTGCGTTGAAAATCAGCACTGGTGAGACAAAGGTGGCCGAGAAAACAGTGCCACTAAATCCCCCATGCTTGTCAACCGGTTTGCCTTCATTAATGGGATCTCGCTAACAGCACCTGTCCAGCAGTCTTATCAGGCAGGACGTTGGATCAAATTGGCGAGGCCTCTCTGAGTGAAGTGTTGTGTTTCTTCGCACAGACATTGTGCCCTAGTTGCCTTGGAAGACCTCCACAAGTACCTGAAGGACGAAGGCGGGCAAGTTGCGGTGAGTGCATGCAATCTCGTGGCCAAACCCAAAGGATCATTCGCCAGCGCACATTAACTCTTTGACATTCTCGGTGTAGTCCGTTTGTCAAATTTTTCATCCGTAGTTAATTCCTTGTATTGTGAAACCATAGGCCCAAAATATTGCTGGGTGCCGCTTTACTGCCTGTGTCGACCACCTGTCCTCCCTTCCTGATAACGGGTGCCCACCCATAATCACATCTACAGTACCCTCTTGCCATTTTCTATTCTGAACTTCCAAGTTGCTGGATTAGGGGCCCCTCCCTATGCAGTGCAGGTCATGGGGGTTATTTAACCATACTTCACCATCTTGGTCTGTCTGCTGGTTCCGTGAAGCGGGCAGGATGCATAGACGTCTGATCGTGGAAGTACATTGCAAAAATGCCCATCCCTCTGCTGCCCACAATCCCATAGCATGTAAACACGAGGTCCTTCATTGCAGGGTTATCCCAGCTAGGGCCCAAACCTTGCTTTGCTTCCAAGATCTGCTTTGGTCACAGAAAGCAAATGTGCGGTATGAAGTATCTGAAATGATTTAAAGCTTTCGTGACTGCAGTAATTCATATTCTTAGCTCTTTCGGTAAAGTCACGTTGAAGGGAAACAATAAAATAATAAAATATATATCTTCTTTGGTTCTTTCAGTAAAGTCACAGCGCTGTCCTCCAGACAGTCTCATCCCTTCACCTGATGAAGGCCGCTTGTGCTGTGGCCGAAACGTCGTGAGAATTTTATTGTGTTATTTTATTTTATCAATTTATTATTTTATTCTCATTCTTACGTGACTTTACCGAAAGAACCAAAGAAGATGAATCCTTGCAGTCACGAAAGCTTTAAATCGAAATAAAATTATATATATATTTTATGAATATCTGAAATGACACGAGGGTAATGAAAGTGCAAAAGCATTGCGAGCCTCGCGTGCATCCCTTGTGTTCTGGCCCCGCAGGTGTTTGATGCCACAAATACGACACGCGAGCGCAGGGAGCTCATCACCAACTTTTGCAACGAGAACTCCTACAAGGTACGGCCAGACGGCGGAGCCCCTTCGGCAGTGCTTGCAAGATTCTCACGCCAATGCGGAAGCTAACGATAATGATAACAACACGCTTTTATCTATCTATATATATAAAAGGGAAATTTGTGAATATGTGTGTCTGTTCAAAATGTTTAGCGTACTTCCCGACATGCAACAAACTTGAAATTTGCCATGTGGGTCGTGTCACCCGCATGCGGAAGCGTTACGCAGTGTGCCTGCTGAGGTCAGGCATCCAACCCTCCGCGAGTAAAGTGCCATACAAATGTGTTGCAGGTCTAAGGCGTTTTTCACGCAGCATTGCTTTATTGAGTCGTTTACTGCCGTACGCACCCTGAAAGTTGTGTCTGCAGCAAGCGGGTATATGTGTACCTATGGACGCACGCGCGTGTGTGTGTGGGGGGAGCGGCGCTACGAACCCGGTGACCCGAGTTGGATTCCCGCTTACGGCCACCACCGGTGACGATTATTTGAACCGGTCCTGGGCCTCCCCTAGCTCGACTTGTCCTCAAACGAATAACTCGTGTGGTATTCTTAGCTCTTTCGGTAAAGTCACGTTGAAGGGAAACAACTAAATAATAAAATATATATAAATGCAAATCGACACACCTGATGACGACCGTTTGTGTTATGGTCGAAACGTCGTGAGAATTTTTATTTTTTTATATATATTTTATTCTTTTGTTGTTTCCCTTCAACGTGACTTTACCGAAAGAGCTAAGAATATGAATTACTGCAGTCACGAAAGCTTTAAATCAAAATTTAACTCGTGTGGTGTGTGAACATCACCGCTGGGGGTACAAAGGCGGCCGGGCGTGGTGAATCCAAGTCCCGGGCGAAGCCGGGTAGTAAAGCTAGGTGTGCTGGCTGGCTGGAGGGAGGAATGGGTGGATGGCCATGTCCAGATGACGTGTGGGTTGCTAGTTTTACCGTAAAAAGCCTTTCTGAGTCTCAAGGTTCATGTTCAGGATGGTCCAATATTTGAACTGTTTGGTCAATTAATTTGATCACTGAGGAGTCCCGATGCAGAGTGATCTCATGCATGCGAGGGAGGTAATACTCAAACACCTGCTGTTGGATTCACAAATGCATTGCTGAGGCAGGCTGGTTGGCTCAGAGCTGAGGAGCAACTGAACTGGTGCCTGCTGAGATCTTGGCTCCAAATCCAGGTTTCAGCCGCCCGTGATTAAGTGCAGCACGTCGATGGTCTCAGCCTTGTCACCAATGACTGAACAAAACCAATCGTGTTAAGTTTGCTTTTGTACTTTACTTGGCTGCAAATACACCTCTTGCAGGGCTCATTGGCAGGGTTTTGCGTGATTTAAATGCATGCGGCTGGTTAACTTTAAGTTCGGGTGACCAGTGGGTCGATGGCTGAAATACGTTATGTATTTACATGGAGATGCAGTGACAGTTTTTTAGCCTCACGTCCCAAAATGTTCCGCTACAGAACTCATCAATGGTCTCCATAATAAAACGGTATTACAATTGCATTGTATTGTTTTTTACGCCAAAATAAAGCGCTTGAAATTATCACACGTGTCAATGCATTTAATGCACCGAATGCTTATCTATTATGCGGATGATTATTTTGTAATGACGGTAGAAATAAACCTCTTTACAGCCACCACTTTTAAGAGATAAAATCAGCCAAGAATCCTGCCCGGCTTGTCTTATCGCTCGAAAACCGCATTGGGTGGTGTTTTTTTTTGGTTGATTGGCAGGATCCGGCCCTTGGGGACATCGGGCAGGGAAGCGCATAATTAATTAAGATTAGATAAAATAACAAGAATTCGCCATTAAACAACTCTGCCACCCGAAGCTGGAAATCCCAGGATTTTGTAAATCGCCCCGGGCTAGGGGAAAACTACAGGAATCCTAACTATGTGAAAATTAAGTCATGAACGCTTTAAACGCAAATCAAATTGGCCGGCTCTGCATTTCAGTGTTCCCGTCCTTTTAAGGACGGTGTGGATTTGCATTTGCACCAGGGGCCACAGCCCAAGAGGTCGAGTCGTGGTTTCCTTCAAATAATTGCCTCACTTGCATAACAAAAATACAATACGTGTGACGAAATTGGATTTTTTGTTATTGTTCATCTTTGTTGTTGCGACGTAATTGTAAACTCCAAGCAGGCATGGCTGGTTAATCTGGGTTGCATTAAACGTAATCCTTCCTCTACGGTTTTAGTCCATTGTTGCTAATCTGAATTAGTTCATTGAGAATTTGCTTTGACTGTAGGCCTCTGATTTGTACAGTACGATTGCATTATAACAAAAAATATTTATTTCTGAGCGTTGAGCATTAATCGGTGCTAGTTTAGTCAGCATTTGTTATTATAGTAATTCTCACAGTCTACGTGACCTAAAGCAATAAAGCATGTAGTCCACGTTTACTTACTAAATGCTGGGGTGATGGTGAAACAAATATTACCCCTCCCACCAAATATTATCAAGTCAACCAGTAAGTGAACTCAAACTTTGCATATAAACAAATATAGCCAATTACCATGTTTGGTCTTCCTCTGTGCACAGCGGTCTCTAATAACTTCACTAAATTATCTCAGTCTGTGTCTTCATTCAAACTCATTAAATTTGTCTCGTCATAGTCACTCGTGTTTGGGTGTTGGTGTGAAGGCGTCTTTGTCTTCATGCTCGGTTGATGTCCATCCTCTCATAGTCATTGTTGACAAATACAAATCAAACCCTTTGCTGAATAATGTTTTTGTCACTAATCTCATAAACCCTAATATTGGTCTCGTGGTAGCACGTTCTCCGCAAATTTCAGAGGTTCACGGTTTCGAATTCAGAGGCCGCCCTGGTTAATACTGTGGGTGTAATGGCAAAAAAAAATGTGTCTTCTGTGTTGCAGTTGACGTTAAACAATTCAGTGATGTAATTCGCCAGAGTAGGCCATTATGTGCTGGCATCGTGGTCCGAATTTGAAAAAAAATACCCACAATTATTCACTTGGAATAATATATAGCAATCATTGCTCCCTCCTGCAAAATCTTGGTAGGACCCTCCTGAAGGCTATCTTGGGTAAATAAGTATAATTGTAGTAATAATTATTACCCGTGGTATTGCATGTATAAAAACGTATATTTTTTTTTAGCTTTGTCATGTATGATTGTACATTTCAGGTGTTCTTCGTGGAGTCCCTATGTGACGACCCTGACGTCATTGCCACCAGCATTACCGTACGTGAAGTAAATTGAACGCAGTCTGACAATAGTTTATGACTTGCACACAAGCATCTCTACACTCGTCTGACCTGCAGACAAAGGGATGAATGAAGTCCATATTTCCTGTGACTCGAGACCCTCCTTGCAGGAGGTGAAGGTGAGCAGCCCCGACTACAAGGACTGCAACAAGGACGACGCCACTGTGGACTTCCTGAAGCGTATCGAGTGCTACAAGGAGACGTACCAGCCTCTGGACGATACCTGGGATAGGTAGGTCATCACTGCTCCAAGCTTCCCCCCTCCCCATGCCCTCTCTAGCTTCCTGCATCACTCGTCTGGCCAGGCAGCGATTTGCGGCTCACTTGACCCAGACACTGGCCTTCTGTCGCAGCAGCTGGATAAATAATCTCTCCTAATAATCGTAAAATATCATTATGTCATCCTTCATGGACCATGGCCTAAGCCGTCGATGCCTCCACACCTCGTCGCCCAACGCTTTCTACCCTTGGCCAGGTCTCGGCAGCTGCTGCACAGGAGACGCGTGACCTCCCAGGTGTGCGCTGCTGACAGTCTCCCACCATCTACACTTAGGTCCTTCCCCTTGGTCGCCCGACTCGTGGAGAGTAATAGCAGTAATGCCATTATGTCATTGGTGTTATGTTCAGGTTGTTTTGTGATTTTATTTTTTTATTGTGATAGTGATGAGGGGCGTTTAGAAACGTTACACACAATAATCGGTGGATTCTCATATGACTGAACAATTAAGGCTGATATTCATTTGTCTTCAACGTCATGGGCTAAAAAGTTCACGACCAATTTGAGTATTCGCTGACAATATATTGAAGCTAATTTTTCGGGCACTCGCATTCAAGAACAGAGAGCGACTTAACGCCAAATACAATTGGCAATGTGCCTACATCGCTTTATGCCTCTTCAGCTCCAACAGTTAAATTACTTATTAACCCGGAAACTTGCAAAACCCAGAGACTGTTTAAAACCACGTTTTGTAGAGGGACTTGAGGAAGGACGGCGGATGCTGAAGTTCAAACTCGTAAAATATTCTGCCTGTCGGACAACCCAACACAGTGCTGGGGGGGGGGGGGGCGGGTGTGCATCGTAGCGATGTTAAACTTTCCTTGACGTTGCCCCTGCCGTGTGTCCTCAGGGAGATGTCGTACATCAAGATCTTCAACGTGGGCCGAGGCTTCCTGGTGAACCACGTGCAGGACCACGTGCAGAGCCGCATCGTCTACTACCTGATGAACATCCACGTGCAGCCGCGCTCCATCTACCTGTGCCGGCACGGGGAGTCAGAGCTCAACCTCAAGGGCCGCATCGGGGGCGACCTGGGACTGGCCGATCGCGGCAAGCAGGTGGGCACCGTCGTCGACGACGATCACTTTGTCACCGGCGCCACTCAGAATATCATCGCCACTTAGAATATCATCGCTATCGTTTTATCATGATTAATGGGGTGGGAATGCTTACCGTCACCGCCATTATCACCATAGCCATTGTTTTTGTCGTTGTTACATTTCAGTTGGAGCTCGGTACGGAGCACAAAATGCGACGTAGGGCGCGGGGTACAGAAACTCCACGGACATAAGTCCGAAACGCTGTGCACCTGAGTTTAGAGAAGGCGGGAGATTGGGCTCGCAGCCTCATCATAGCCATTGTTATTACCCCAATCAAAACCATCTTTGTCATGCCAATTGTCATCATAGGGAAAGGCATCATCCTCAACACCACCAGACTTGATATCCCAATTCATATATCTTCAATTTCACTGTAATTGTGCTTGTCACTATCATCATTGTGGTCATTCTCACCATCATCTTCGTCACCATTTTCATCACTTTGACTGCCTTCATCTGCACCGTCGTCGTCGTCGTCAGCTTCACTGTCTCTTTACAGTTGTCTTCCTGGGTGCCATCATACTCGTGATTTTTATAATCCGCCCTTTGCTATTGCATTGCACTGTAAGTAAAACAATGACAGAAAACAATCTACCGTCTCTCTTGGTCTCCTCATCTCCACAGTTCGCCAACGCGCTGAGCGCCTTCCTTTCGGAACAAAACATCAAGGACTTGAAGGTGTGGACGAGCCAAATGAAGAGGACCATCCAGACAGCCGAGGCTCTGAACACTACCTATGAGCAGTGGAAAGCTCTCAATGAGATTGACGCCGTAAGCTCTCCACGGATAAAACCATTTGGAAATGGGGGGTGGGGAGACATGTTTGCATTTCCAGGTTGTACCGCGTGACGTCCAACACGTGCTGGGAGCTTCTGGAATTTAAACTTCTGGAACGGAAGCTCCCAGCACGTGGGATGAAACGTCGGACATCGCGCAGAACAACACGCGCTGCCGTACATATCCATGTATGTTGAAGTTCTTTCGCACCGTACGTCGCCAGTCGTGCTCATGGGAGGTGCGGAGGCAGGACAACAAACTAAGCTCAAAAAGCAGTTGTAAAGAAATTAGTTTTTAGTCTAAGATTTGAAAGTGCATAGCTCCAGTGGCTTCCTAATATCGAAAGGGAAGATCCTTCCAGACGGCCGCAGAAGCGCATATGAAAGGCGCGCTCATCGGCCAGCCATGGAGCACATCTGCGAAAACTTACGTAGTGGTTTGACTTGTACGCTTTCGCGACCAATATTATTAATAATAAAGGTTTTTTGGGGAATTTTTTTTTTTACATTTTGTTTGTGTTGCTTGTTCTCTCTTCCAGTTTAACACTTTTGTTGGCTCAGTTTTTTTAACAACACATTCTTACGCAATCTAACAAAAAAAACCTTGATTGTGAATACGCAGCGGCGCTTGCTTCACGTTTAGCAGCAGCTGTTGTTTCTTTTCCCTCCCACGCGGTTTGTGGGGCAGGGAGTGTGCGAGGAGATGACATACGAGGAGATTCAGTCATCGTATCCCGACGAATTCGCCATGCGTGACCAAGACAAGTTCCACTACCGCTACCCCAAGGGGGAGGTGGGTATATTTGCGTGGGCGGTGACGGTAGCGTCAGAAGTGGTGAGCACATTGCATTTTTGTGGTCAGGAATCAACAAGAGTTTGATTCCCAACCTAGGCTAACATCAGTGGCAAGTGATATATCTCAGCCATAAGGTTGAGGAAAAAGACAAAAAATCTGATAAAAATGAAAACATAAATAAAAGAGTAATTTTTTTTTTTAAACACAGTTGATGATCACATGCCCAAAGACCCAAAACATGTGGCCAGCAACACACAGCACTATAAAAGTTGTAATCGATAAGAGTTAATCCATTTCTTGAATTGAGCTGGGTTCTGAGAGCATGGAAAGAGAGGCTGTAGGATGGAATTGTGAAGTAATGCGAGGGACGAAGCAGACGGAGAATTGTTTCGACCCGCAGTGTGGTGGTTGAACGCAGTGTGTACAAGACCACAACCTGACAGGGTCGCTTACGTACGTTTACTTATCCAGTCGTGCGTGTGTGCATGTGTGTGCGCGTGTGCGTGTGTGTGTGTGGGCTCGTGTGTGTGTGTGTGTGCGTGCGTGTGTGTGCGTGTGTGTGCGTGGGCTCGTGCCACAGTCGTATCAGGATGTGGTCCACCGGCTGGAGCCGGTCATCATGGAGCTGGAGCGGCAGGAGAACGTGCTGGTCGTGTGCCACCAGGCCGTGATGCGCTGCCTGCTCGCGTACTTCCTCGACAAATCCTCCGGTAATAATAGGGTTTTTCCCCCTTTTTTCTGGCAACAAAACTTAAACCTTTTTTCAAGGATTCATGCCTGCATGAACCACAATACCTGCAGTCGAAATGCAAACAAAAAACATACTTTCGATTTAAAGCTTTCGTGACTGCAGGGATTCATCTTCTGGGTTCTTTCGGTAAAGTCACGTAGAATGGAGATAAAATAATAAAAATAATAATAACAGAATAAAATTCTCACGACGTTTCGGCCACAACACGAGTAGCCTTCCTCAGGTGAAGAAACAGGACTGTCCGGAAGACAGCGCTGTCTTCCGGACAGTCCTGACAGCGCTGTCTTCCGGACAGTCCTGTTTCTTCCCTGAGGAAGGCTACTTGTGTTGTGGCCGAAACGTCGTGAGAATTTTATTGTTATTATTTTTATTATTTTATCTCCATTCTGCGTGACTTTACCGAAATAACCCAGAAGAAAAAAACATGCTATGATAATATATGCATTCTCTTTGTTTTTTTTCGGTAAAGTCATGTAGGTAAAATAAAATTAAACAACTAAATTAATTCACGACGTTTTGGAGGCAACACAAGCTTCCGTCTTCAGGTGGAACAGTCACAGCAGAATATCTGTGTCAAGTGGACAGCTCTGAGACAGCCGGGATTATATACAGGTTAAGGGGGAGGGAGGAGCCAAGAAGGAACGTGGGTGGGGGGGAGGGCTGAGTTAAGTCGCCTTTTGTTATGCTGCAGGGGGTTCGGGGGTAGCGGTGGTGCACTGCACGAAAACGGGTAAAACACCCTTTTGTTATGCTGCAGGGGGTTCAGGGGGAGAGATGCACAAGTACACGCAACCCACTGAGAGCAATGGCAATGGCTGTACAATTATAAGGCAGCTAACGTTTGACTTGATTTATAACATCTTTCCAATGGTTGCTCAATTTGAAACCATCCTCTCGGTTGAAGTTTGTTTGTATATCTGGATGGTACGGTCAGAGTATGCATTCCTCTTGAGGGCCAGATGTACGTGTTTTAATTCACTGGTCAGGTGGTGTTGGTCAGACATGCAATGAGCCCTATGATATAATGTTTTGATGAGAGAGTTATTTTGAGCCGGGTGGTGGTGGGAATCAGGCTTCAAGTATGAATCTGTGTGGGTGGACTTTCTTTACAGAAAGTATGAATCTGTGTGGGTGGACTTTCTTTACAGAAAGTCCACCCACACAGATTCATACTTGAAGCCTGATTCCCACCACCACCCGGCTCAAAATAACTCTCTCATCAAAACATTATACCATAGGGCTCATTGCATTTCTGACCAACACCACCTGACCAGTGAATTAAAACACGTACATCTGGGCCTCAAGAGGAACGGATACTCTGACCGTACCATCCGCCAAGCTGTTTCTCCCACCATACAGAAACAACCACCTGATAACTCCGATCAAAACCATCACACTGCCATACATAGCAGGCGTTACCAAAAAGATTTCCAAAATTCTAAACAAACACAAGATCCAGGTCCGGTTCAATACAGTACACAAAATCCGTGATCTGATCCCGTCCGTAAAGGATATCATTCCTGACTTAAAGTACCCCGATGTTTACAAATTGAGTTGTACCTGTGGCGACTGCTATATCGGGGAGATGAAACGACATATTTCTGACCGAATTCGCGAGCACAAATCAGATTTGAAACACGACAGAACGAATTCTTCGGCCGTGTCTGATCATTGTTTCAACACAGCAGGTTATCATGACATTATTTTCTCTGATACCAAAGTACTATGCAAACCACCCGGTTATTACCAAAGATTTGTCCATGAAGCTATCAAAATATACAAACATAGATACAACTTCAACCGAGAGGATGGTTTCAAATTGAGCAACTTTTGGAAAGATGTCATCAACCAAGTTAAACATTAGCTGGGTTATAATTGTACAGCCGTTTCCGTTTATACCAGGATGGTGCCTGCGCTCGTACAGCACGCCATCGTCCTCCACCCGAACCCCCTGCAGCAAAAAGGGTGTTGTACTCGCTTTCTTGCAGTGCACCACCGCTCCCCCCGAACCCCCTACAGCATAACAAAAGGCGGCTTAACTTAGCCCTCCCCTCCCCACCCATGTCCCTTCCTGGCTCCTCCCCCCCCCCCCCCTTAATCTGTATATAATCTCGGGTATTCCAGAGCTGTTCATTTGAGGATACAGCGAATTTTGCTGTGTCTGTTCCACCTGAAGACGGAAGCTTGTGTTGCCCCCGAAACGTCGTGATTTAATTTAGTTGTTTTATTTTATTTTACCTACGTGACTTTACCGAAAAAACCAAAGAGTATACCTTTCTATACTTTAGTCTGTTTAACTGTCACCACCATGAGATGCTAGCCAGTTGATCACCTTCGTGTATGAACTAGCTCTCCTATGTGTACCTCCGATTAACACGGTTGGCTACGTACGGTGCGAAAGAAGTTCAACATACATACTTACGGGACTGGCTGTCCTATGTCCAGACTGGCTGTCCTATGGAGATTGTCCCTCCCAAAGATAACGGTTGCCAACAATACTGTCTTCGCTAACTACAATGGGTATCTCAATCTTTCCATAAGTATGCGTATACTGAAAATCAAAACAAAAATACATGCCAATGTGTGTTAAATGCAAATTGCGTGTTAAATGCATTGGAATTTGTTATTTTAATAGTACATCTTCACGCTTTTTCTCCACAGCTGAGCTTCCTTACCTGGAGTGTCCACTCCACACTGTGCTCAAGCTGACGCCAATAGCCTATGGTAGGTCACACCAAACTTAACGTTTGCATTGGTTGTGCTCACCAAATGCATTAAATTGTGGTTTTAAGGTCACCTATATGTCCTTTTGATATGTCTATAATATTGCAATTTCTATAAGTTCATAATGCAATAGAAACTGAAAAAATTGTTGAATTGGACTGCAGGTCCCTGGGTTATCTTGAATGGTTAAGATATTTTGACTTAACTTTCGTGACTGCAGGAATTCATATTCTTTGGTTCTTTCAGTAAAGTCACGTAGATAGAAAAATCATAATAATAAAATGAATAAAAATAACAAAAACACTAATGTAGACTAGCCTGGTTCTTAATTGGAGTGTATTGGAAGTCTAATGTAGACTGTAGCAATGGTTATTAAACCGGGTGAGTGTACTGGCAGTCTATAATGTACAGTCTACATTATAGACTGCCAGTACACTCACTCTGATTAAGAACCAAGGTATAGTCTACATTAGTGTTTTATTTGTAGTTTTTATTAAATTATTTTTTAATTCACTTTATTTTTATTCTCATTTTTCTATCTACGTGACTTGACCGAAATAACCAAAGAATATGGTTAAGATATGCTCCCACAAGCGATTTAACTCGCCCCCTGCTGGTCACTCTCAGCACGGTATTTAAAAGTTCAGACTTCCAAACGTTTTAAGTTTTGGATGTTCAGGTTTTTAATACCCCCATAATGCTATATACTGGCAAGAGCAGATCCGATACATTTATTGAATTGTGAAAATGTAACAGGAATTGTAGGTGGGAGTGAAAATTATCAATCGTCCAAACATCACAGCATCTTTTCTATTGTCAGTTTTTTTCTTTCTAAACGTGTAACTCCGATAAACACTCAAACTGATTATTCAACGACAGGGCATTGTTTATTGAATCTGTGCCTGCATATTGGCGCGTTTCCCCTATTGTCAGGTTGTCGAGTGGAGTCGTTTTTTCTCAACGTGGAGGCTGTGAACACGCACAGGGAAAAACCAGAGGTGAGATCCCCACCTTCCACACTGCCGAGCCCGGGGTCTAGCCTCTCCAATCGGCCATCGTCATCCAACATACTCGCACCGCTTGGGTAAAAATCCCAAAACGATTATTATTTATCATCAGCCATGATTTATCCACTACTGGATGGCAACGACTTGGGGGGAGGCTTTCCACCGTTGCCATCCCTCGTGATCTCACGATGCAGCAATCCACTTGGGCCCTCTACACAGGAGCCGATCGTATTGCTCCATCATCACAGTGCTCTTTTTCAGGCACCGTTGGGCTGCCGTTCCATCGTTAGTCTTGACCGTCGGCCGTCGGCCCTTCCAGAAGCGCATTCTGCCCAGGCCAACTTAGAATGTTTGATAAAGTAAGCGTTCCGTGCTTATTACTTGGACGTCGGCAACGAAAATAAAACAAAAGCTGAAAGGTGCTGCAAAGAAGCATTGGGGAGTGGAAGCTTAGAACTATATTGGGAGATGGTAGTGGAATTTGTCGGTCAAACAACAATCTTAATTCGAGACCTCACACTGACTCTTATGATGTGTAATACGGTAGGATAAAACATTTCATTTTGTATAAATTGCAGGTGTTTGGTCCAGTTTCAAGTTTATTTTAAACAGGTGAGAACTCAAGAGACCAGGATGGTCAAATTTGCAAGAGTGATCTTTGGCATTAGTTTGCCAGTCGGTGGCGATGATTGATATGTATAATCCAAGTTCAGTAATGTGCGGGTAATTTTTTGAATTTGGTAAATTTGAACCCTGACGCCGACAGAGCATCAGGGCCTCTTCAACATCCACTGTAAAGCAGACGGCATTTTGTTATGGTTATGACACCTGCATAAAAAAAATCAGGGCAGCCACCTGGATTCGAACCATGAACCTCTGCCTCCAATAGGTGGTAAACGTGCCACCGCTGGGCCATGTCACTACCCTTAATTTGTAGATGTCTTAAGTTAATGTATAGATGACCAAAACTGGGCCGGAGACCAGTCACCTTCATAGGACATCGCAGAATACCATCAACAGGTACTCTGTATAGATGTAAAATGTATTTTCTAAGAGCTCCATTGCTGGCTTTTAGTGACCTTCATCTCATGTCATATGTCCACCAGAGGCCATAGCGGTTGACCAACCGTGCGTTTAACGTCCCACGATTTTAATGAATTTTATTCACTCCCACCCGACCGATTGCGCAGAACGTGAGCGTCTCGCGCAAGTCATCAGAGGCTCTCAAGACGGTGCCGGCGCACGAATGAGGGAGCGGCCCACTGCCGGCCACCAGGGACTGTGCCACCACCCCTTCCCCTCCCTCCCCCAGCAGCAGCCGCCCCTCCCGCCAGCTGGACCCTGCTGTCCATCTCGCCCCCGCCGTCTCTTTCGCCTTCTCAAAAGTGCAGTTCTCTTTTGTCCAGCTGGACCGCAGCCATGGGGCGTCGCAGCCAGATTTGAACGTCGTGCGAGGACTTAATTTACAACGTTCACAAAGGGTTCTTGATTCTTCATTAAAACGCCACTTGTGTGTTTTTATTAATACTTTTATACCACTGGAAGGAAATTACTTTTGCACATGATTAAGAACAAATTTTTGTTTTGGTCCGCATTGAAATATGGCACAGATTAAATTAGATGTTTTGAGTGTATATAGGGTCTATGTGGGTAATTATTTCTATTGTCTTAGACTACTTTGTCAGTACGTGTGGCCACATGTTCACAGCCAAATTGAACATGTGATTGTGCCATTTCCAGGGTAAAAGTGTGAGAGGTGTGTGGATTTCATCTAGTGTTGCTCCCGTGACATTTCATTGATCATGGGGTTTTGTGGTTGCTAGTGCTGAAGATAAAGACATTTTAGAACCGTATTCCTCGACATTAATTCTTGAAGCTGGTACAGGGTCTCCTGCCAAGTCTAAATTTGTGTCAGATTTAATACATACTCACACATACTATAATGCATAGTCTTGTATCAATCCATTGGGGAATAAACGCCTCCCCATGCAATTCGGCAGGAATGGGGGTTGTTTTATGACTGTACTTCACGCTGGTCAGTGCGGATTTGGTCAAGATGGGTGTTCAGGATCGGTTCAGATATCACTCGTCACTGGTATTAGCCATGGCTGGGAATTGAACTCAGGTTTCTTATGAATGCTCTTATATGTCGGCATGATTGGTGTGCCCACGCTCCCTAGTCATGACGTCTCTATCTCTGTGTAGGATTTTGCACGTGGCCCTTCAAAATTCCAGTGACTGCGTTTAGCCAAAGGGCTTCCGGATTAAGTAGATTTGAGTTTGTTGGATTGGTTAGGTCTTGTACCAGAAAAATGAGTTTATGCCTCATGAGTTGGTCCTAAATCTGGCAACTGTTTATCTAAAAAAAACTTTAATATTACGAGTACTTGCATGCATGGTGATTTGACAGCGATTAGAATGTTTTTTTTTAAAGATCCTGCGGTTTATGTTCTGGTGCTGCTGGCTGCACTGAAGTGTATGCTGTGACAGGGGATAGAGGCAGAAGCCAGAGAAGATTTCATTTCTGCTTGAAAACTACTAATCTATGCACACAAGTCATTAAATGACCAATGCCCTAAAAAAACACATCTGCAAATTTGCGTGAAATAGTGTTTATACAATGTGCTGAATGAGCTATACTGCACAGTATACAAATTATTTTCAATGTACATATACGGATGTATGTATATGAGTATGAGCGGCCATTATCACCTGTGGACATTCTCAATCCACTACAGTTGTCCCATAATGCTAGATTTAAACTGTTAATTGTAATAATCTACAGGACTTTCTCAATCGCCTGCTGGATAAAGGCCTCCCCATGCCGTATCGGTTCATTGCCGTTTTGTTTGACCATACTTCTGCACACTGACCACGCTGCTGGTCAGTGTGGGTTGGTGTGTGTGGGGGGTGGGTCCAGGACCAGTTCAGATGTCGGTCGCCACTCACATTAGTAGCAGCCGGGAATGGAACGCGCGTCGCCAGCTTCAGAACGCAGTGCGGCTAAACCACTGCGCAAACACAGTTAACATTATCTGATGCGAAATACGCCTGTTGACTTTTACAAAAATCGGCGACATCGGTACAGTTGATGGTTACTATTCACTCTTTCCTTTAATGTGAAAATACACAGAACGTCTGTCTGATTTCATTGGCATTTTCACAAGGGCAGTGTCACTGTGGCGTTGAGCCATGACATTGCTGTTGTACCTTACGATTTTGTGATAAAACGCCGCTATCCCCAACGCTGATCAAGGCAGGCTCAGGTTATACATAAAATAATGTATGACGTTTGAATTTCAGGGTTTCTGTGCAACAGAATTTTTTTTATATATATTAGCTAAGGTTAGTATAGAGCGGGTTATTTGTAGTTGTCTATTGCATAGCCTTTGTGTTTGGTGTACAAAATGTGATAATTGAGTCTGTAAATTGAGTGTAAGTGATGTGATTTGACTTTAAATCAGCTGTTAATATGCGTATCATTAGTGCTGGGAAAGGAAATTGTGGTGTAAGTGGTGTAAATTGTCTCAAACATTTAATAGAAAATAAGACTTTCGATTTGACTGCGTTACAAATCTTTTTGAGACGGTCTCTGTAAGAATGACGCAGGCAAACCAAACATTACATTGAAGACTGCAAACATGGGCTACCTTCAGAAAACCTTTGTGCCCATGCGTATTTGTGAGGGTTTTTTTTTATCAGCTTCACAGTGCCTGCTGCATTCGCACATATAACTTGCTTGTTGTCATCGTAATCCGCAACCAAAACCTGTTTCTTGCAGGGTTGGGGTGTGCGTTTTGAGGCCACACTGTGATCGTATGCGAGATGCAATTCGTTTGTTTAGTTAAAGTTATTTGCGAAATGCTTATTTGGATATTTGGGATAAAAAGTCATCCCCGGACGGTAGTGGGCATCTTGGTTGGAAGTCGAGGTTGGTTGTTGAATTTTAATCGAACTACCTCTTCTGTAATCTAAGAAGCAATAACATGAAGATAAATACTTGCCAATTGTGTTAGGAGTCTTGATCGGAACGGACATCTGCCACTGCAGGATAAGATCATTTCTTCTTAGGTTGGAAAGTCTCGCAAACTGTCAAGTTTGTATTGTTAGGCCCCAACAGCTGTAACACACGAAGAAAACCAATTCCCTAAATTGATTCAATTGATGTGTGTCCATTGTACAAGTCGTATCCATGTGCAAGATTACAACATTGGTAGAAATGAGGTTTAGTTTTTTTTTAATCTAAGGGGTTGGTAAAAAGTATTGGGAAATCGGAGAAGGGAAATGTGATGGTACATTGGATTTTAATTCTTGAAGCTTGGGCTTGCAAGAAACTTGTGAAGTGGTGAATTTTATGTTTCAATCTAACTTAAGTGTAGCATTTATTGTAATAACTAACCACGTCTTTAATTTTCATTTTAAACCACTTACCAAAACAGCTGAATGTAGGATATAACGTTATTTATAAACAGCCACAATTGGCAAAAAAAAAATCCGTGAAGACAAATTAATGAAAACCTTTTCCTTGACATTTATTTTGGGAGAAACACAACTCCAAATAAAGACCTAACAAATCCTGTGAACATTATGAAGATGAAACCCATTTGAAGAGGTGATTGTGTAGTGCTTTAGGCATACATAGGCAGGATATTACATCGTTGATACGCACAATAAGCAGGTTGCCTTCCCGTATTGGCTGGTGCTACATCCAGCAAATATATAACTGTTGAAACGCAAATCTTTATTGTTGTAAAGGATTTTCTTGCATAGGGGCCATCCATTTAGTAGGTACGCAAAATTCCGTCACCTGTACGCACGCGGACTTTTTACCCCCCCCCCCCCCCCAAACTGCGTACGTACGCCTGGCGCGCACCCCCTATAGAACGGCCGATATTTAATCGACGCAGAAACGATCAAGGATTAATAATATTAACGTGTTCTTTCGGTAAAGTCACTTAGGTATAAAAAATAATAGATCACGACGTTTCGATCGCAACACAAGCGACCGATCGCAACACAAGCGACCTCTCACCTGAAGACAGTCGCTTGTGTTGCGATCGAAACGTCGTGATTCATTATTTTGTCTACCTACGTGACTTTATCGAAAGAACCAAAGAGTGGATTCCTGCAGCCCACGAAAGCTTCAAATCAAGATTAACGTGCTTAAGCAAACATATAGTCCACCGCCGGCTGTATTAAATAATAAAAATGCCGTCCGCTAGGTTCAAACGCCGACTGAACCCAGTGGAACAGGTAACGACGCATTATAGGGGTTTCGTCAACAGGCGCAGTGTCATGCTGAAGCACAGCAGCGTGATAGCTGCAGTCTGCTGGGCCACGCGTCTCAAGATCCACAGCGTCGCTGGCGTCGTCATCATCATCATCGTACAGCTTTTGATTGTTATCACTGTCAGAAGACTTTAGCGTGAATGCGCTGGTGTCGTTTGACACTGGCCTGCGGCAGCTAAAACCTTGAGCCAGGGGCAGTCTGCAGTGAGGAGTCCAGATTGCAGGATGTGTGACCCATGGGGCAGGCCGCCAGACTATTGAGCTGCGTGATAGCTGCAGTCAGGGGCACGGTGGCACACAAGTGACACCTCTCCCACAGTCCCACTTCTCCCGGCAGTACTTGTTGTCCGACAGCTGAAGAAACTCAACTGTGGCTCATTTGAAGGCCAATGTAGACAAATTATTTATCGAGGCTTCAACCCCCTCCGTTTCCTATGCGTACATTGTCAGTAGACCCCTCATACGCAAGCGTACACATTTGGGTTAACCCCCTCCGCCCTCCATGCGTACGTACTAGATGGATGGCCCCATACTGGCTTGAAATTACACTTAATGTTTTTGAACACAAACGTGGATAATGCAGCCTTCTCTTAAGGCAGTTTCCGCTTAAGGCAATCACAATGGGTATATCAATGCATTGACTGCGAGCGATTGTTAAGCTCGCGATACCGCCAACGACTAGCGCGTGTAATGGATGCTTTTAAATGCGTATGTGTCTGTGTACCTGGTTAATAAAACCGCTGCAGCCACTAAAAACATTCGGTCAAACATTCAGTAATGTTATTGGATACACCTGTCGATTGGTTATTCACATGGGATGGTGTGATGTCTGGCCAGCGTGGGAGACTGCCAATTGCTGTCTATAGGGGGCCCTCTGGAGAGCTCCCTCTTGTGTAGACCCTTCCACCAGCAGTGGCATGAGCAAGACTTTGCAGGGCTGCGCCTTTAATTTTTATAACGAGCTTGCGTTCGATGTGGCTTTGGTGTAACGCAGCGGCCTAGGAGGCAGGGATTCGGCCACCCACTTCCCTTGCTGACCAGCTGTATTGGAGGCGGAAATATGCACACTATCCCACCAGAAGAGACTCGGCCTATTTTAATCCACTCGGTAACTGTTTGGAGATGTTATAGTTGTGCAATGTATACAAGAATGCCATATGTACCACTTTTTTGTATGCATATTTTAAGTTATGCTGTGCGTGGCACAATGTGTTTAGAAGCTTTACGGGAACGTCTGCCAACAATGGTAGATGTAATTGTGCCGAAAATTGTGAAATTCATCAACAACCGGACCTTGAACGTTGGAATGCTCGTAGCCGGGTGCATTTTTATAATCCTGTTTGGTTGCGGCACTGTTGGTTGGTGAGCAAGTGCTGGAGTTGTACTGCTGTATGGGTCATATCTCGGATGCATGGACTTGCAATGTCTGAAAGCAATTAGCGCAACATAAATTTTTACTGATGTATTAATGGTGCAATAAACTTTTTTTTTTCAAATACACAAGCATAGCGATGTTTCATCTATGATTAAACTTACGTCAAAAATTTTGCCATTACATGAACATATTTTGCAAGTAAATTTCACGTGTTTGGAAATAAATGAGAATGTATTGGCATGTTTTCAATTACATTGGAATCCCTTAATTTCACTGGAATGAAGACCTCCTTCCAGCTGCTGCCATCTCACATGATCCTGCAAAGTAATCCAATATATATTTAAAATCGAATTACATAATTTTTGCATCCAAATGTTTCGCTATCTAGTTTGTGGAGAGGCAGCCAAGAAATGGAACACGTTCCAGAGGCCACCCACAAAGGAGATGGAGTAATGAAATCCACTTGTGTGCAGTTGTTCGCGAGATGGATTGTTACATCACCGAAACCATGAGGTGGCAACGGCTTGAGGCCTACATCCAGCAGCGGATTAATCATGGCTAGTGATGTGTAGCAATGCCGAGACCACAACAGCTCGGAAGAGAAAGATAACAAAGGTAAGAAAGATCATGTTTTTATTTGCTACATTGGAATTAAACTGGGTGTGCAGTGACAGCTGGTTACTCGGGGTTTGAGTTTCTTTTAAGGTGCGTGATGATAGAATGGCTAGCTCCCTGATGTGTGGAACCCCATTCGGCATAGGGAAGGAGCCCCCAGCACTTTTAAGTAGATATGCCGAACAACACAGGCACAACCACAAAAAACCTACGCAGTGGTACGATGGAATACTTGGAATGCAATGTAATTCACTCCCATCAGTGCACCTCAAGTCAATCAATGCAACATGTGCGGATTATCTGCGTGACTGGTTTGCCAGACGGGCAGTGGGGTCGCATCAGTGCGGAATTAAAAAAACCCTAATTAGGATTCGAATGAATTCCAGTTGTTCACCCACCTGCCTGCCACTCGCCCAACTGTGAATCGAAAGCAGGGCTGGTTGCATTCTTCAACTGGAGTCACAATGTGCCGGTTTGCTTCTACGAAACGTTTTTCTGTTGCAGAATGATTTTAGAATTTAGATATAGGAACATTCACATGTTTATATCAATATAACCTCGGCGAATTACTGCGCGTGCATGCACCTATTAAAATCAACGGGGATATTTTGCTTTACATTACGGGCAAATACGTTTGGTATTTGAGCCATTCTCTGAACGGAGAAGCTGTGTTAAGAAGGTGCTATGTGCTTACCCCTTGTAAAAGCTTGACAGAACATTTCTAACTTGAGTTTCGTTATGCATGACACAATGCACTCCCTGCCCCCCCCCCCCCTCCGACAGTGATTTGATGGATCGTAATCACCGTTAAGATTTTTATTCGAGTTGCAATAAGAGACAAAAGATTGGTTTTATCTCATTGTTACAAGTTCACTACTCATTTGCAATTTTGTGTAACGCATGTGCCTATGATCGCAGTTTTCATGACTTACATAATCAGTTATCGCGCGGGTGATTTGACAGGTATCATACGAATGTAAAAATGGATTCGATCCATCGTTCGGTGTGCAATTCTCATCAACATCCAGATGACTGAGGGCGCATATCGATACAAAACTAGTCGTTGTCGTCACCGGTTTCACTGTCACTTTAAGTGCCTTTGCACTGCGTTTTAATGAAACCCTGTTTGACACCAGGCCGAACCAATTTGCAAGAAACAATTGCACTAACGGCTAACGATGTGCTCCTACGAAATGAACAATGTCGCCGTGTTGGCGAAACTGCTCTAATTTGGCTGTTAAGCTCGCAAAAACACATGAGAATGTTCGCTCGTTTCCGTGGTCGTTATTGTAATACTGTAGTGTATAAATTCTACGGCTGCAATGCCGGCTGCTTGAAGGTGTGAATTGACCCTCATCGGAGCATCACTGCTGCCGCACTGCATTACACACGGCAGTCGCTAAAGCGCGGGTGGAGGCAAATGAAAAAACATTCACGACCTCACACAATAGGCTACAGGTAATGTAAGTATCTGTTTCCAACACTGCTTTCAGATGTTTTTCTTGTATCTAATGTAAATATGATACAAATAAAAAACAAGTTATACAACAATTGTTTTCTGTAATTTCAATCTAAAATCGATTCTACACCACTTTGCTTTGTGTTCCGTAACAGTGAAGACGATGACATTTATTTTGATGTGCAAGCTAAGACAACATCAATACAGTGCACTGGTCTTAAAATCTCAACACGTCTGTCAATAACACCGCCATGGACCACAAGAACATTATAATAGGTGACGTTTTTGAGCAATGTCCCTTATTTAATGGCAGCGTTAGTGACGAATGTTGCCTGTTAAAAAATCCACCTCAAGACAAAATATTCAAGGTGACAAGGTCACGAGTTAACAGGTCCCTGTAGGGTGGGCTGGTAGGAACATTGGAATTTTGCGCAATTTTATTACACCCAACAGCACGAGATTTCACTTCGTTAAAGTATTGAAAGGGGACGGACGGACGGACACATTAATCTATTGCAGGCTGGTACACTCAGTTTACAACTTCGTTCAACCCAGTAAAATCCCACTCAAGGTTCCTGCAATGTTGCTCAGCCACTGTTATTCCACTGGCATTTTTTGTTGTAATGGGCCCTAACAATGATCACCATTCCACCATGACCTGTCAATCTATAGAAGAGGCTTTCTATTCCCCGAATTTGGAGAAAGCCTTGCACTGGCACACCAAGCATTTACCGATGTCATCGTCAAAATGATAGACAGGCCGATGAACCATTTGTAAGTCAACAGTGGACACATTAATCAGATATTGGGGCTCCTACAACAGCAATGGTGACATTTTCACCACAAGTTATGGATCACGGTGAGGTCTTAATATGGGAGGTCAGCAATGGATTCTTGAATCCATTGATTCTTGAATCCATTGCTGAGAAGCTGGGAGTGTAACCTCCTGGCATCCCTGGGTTTTCAACAGATACTCTGGTTTCCTCCCACGTGAGACTGATTAATTATTAATAAAAAAATCGGCCAAACATCCCAATGCAGGACCCCCCTGAAAACCTTGAGAATCAGTAAGGGAATAAACAAAATTAAAATGGAATGTAAGAAAATTAAAAGAGGATTTGCACTCTGGGTATTGCTAATTAGCTCAAGACAAGATGAGACTATTTTTGGCAAAGGCATCATTAAGATGTCCAAATAAAAGCTATGCTCTGCTATACAAGATCTCAAATATCCAACCATGAGTCTGGTGCCTCTTGATCAGATCAATAAATAGGACATCACCAGGTCATGTAGCCAAGAAAGCAAGCACCATGGGAATTCGTAGCTAAACCTCAGTCTACTGGAAAAGGAGAGGTGAGGTAAAGGTGACCAAAGGACAATGCCCAATTTGCAATCACCACACTTAAAAGGAACCAACCAACCAAAGCACACATACAAAGGTCCCCTATAGAGCCCACACAGGCTGTTGGGGCAAGTACTGTTAGCTATCACCTAATAAAGGCTGGCACAGCACAGGAGAGGGTGGTTGCGTGGCCAGCACCACACCCAGCTGCCTTTGTCTCCCCAGTGCTGATGTTTACACGTCGCACGTGGTACTCATTTACAGTTGCGTCCACTTTGGGGAGGCTCAGGACCGGTTCAGATAATCACCACTGATGTTAGTCGCTGCCGGAAACCAAACTAAGGTTACCAGATTCATAGCGCAATGCGCAAATCACTATACTACCACATAATAAGGAACTATTCCCCCTATAGCCTTCACAGGCTGTTGGGGCAAGTGCTGCGAACGACTATCTATGAATGCAGAAATGGCAAACAAGGCTAGCATCACGTCCGGTTACCATTGTCTTCCTAGCAGTGATGTTTACACACTGCACCAGGTACCCATTTCAGGCTGAGTCGACCTAGAAGAGGGCCCCTAGTTTGCCGGATTTCGTAGTGCAGTACGCTAACCACTGCAATCCCGCTCCCGAAACAAAGACACATACACACGCACACACCCAACCACTCTACTTTCACGACAGCCTTGGCATGGCGTCGCATTGTGCAAAAATCCCACGCGATCTGGTAGGTGTTCGCCGCATGGTATTTTTGGTGTCCCCATCTGGTCGGTCAGATGGGATTCCCCGTTTTCGATGTCCTATGCCTTGAGCAGTGGCAGCAGGTTGGGCTTGGCCGTGGCTTGGACGAGAGCCATTGCGTAGATATGGACCCGGGCATCGACCACCATCCCCTTGTTGGACATCTCTGCATGGAGGAACCAGGAACGAGGCAGGCATTGTACCTTTAGGAACATTGTTAGCAGTCTCTCACTGACCAGGTTTATGTTTTGCTGTGGAGGATTGCTATAATTAATGTTGGGGCTGGGTCAGTGTGATCGTTAACTGTTGTCTAGGTTTGGGTAAGTGCCAGACTTCCCTCCCCACCCCCCTCACAATTTATTCCAATTGTGCTAGTGTTATGGGATTAATCCATTCAGAAATGTCGCAGAACAGTGCACGTTAGAGATGTGTTGTGGGAGAGGTGGTTGGCCCACAGCACTTTGAATTTGGCAACCCGAGTCAGCTTCCATCCACGACTAACGCCAGACGAGCGTTATCTGGACCGGTCCTGATCACCTTCCCCCACTTCACCAAGCCACACTGCCTGGCATGGTTAAGTATGGTAAAACAACCCCCAAGACCAACACGGCATGAGGAGGCTGTCACCTAAAAGTCAATTAAACAATGGGCGGTAGGTACACTCTATTATGAACAGCGTAAAAAGGGTTAAAAGCACTCTAAACATCTACTTCAAAAATGTAAGCGGCAACAGTCTGAATTGGATAGTTCACTCTCTGCCAGTGAAAATCTCCAGTAACTCATGCACTTGCCATTAATAAAGCAGCAGCAAAAAACTCCAAGCCAATGCCTCTACTTCCTTCCTGAATGACGGTACATTTTGTAACACACTGGCAGACAGGGCATTATTGCACTGGCAGATAGACACATGAGTTGAAAAAGGGGAGGAAGCATATTTTGAGGCTCCGAGCATATAATTACTCCCAGCATAAACACACACTCACCTGTCAGCTTTTGCAGAAGTTCATTGACTGGCACCAACAGAACCTCAATAAATTCTGGGAAAACAGAAAGGACAAACGGATAAAGAACACACCAGTAGCATTGTTTCACTGTTACCAATTAACCGTCAGTAGCATAAACGAATTGGTGAGAAAAGGTGACTAGTGTCAGTGATGAAGCTGCTGCCTTATTATACCTGAACAATACAGAGTGTGAGCTATTGCATTTTATATATGTTTTCACTAAATAATGAAGAGTATGAAATGGAGCCTCATAAAAACAAGCCTACGACCACAAGCTTTTCAACTTAACTCCGGTTTGAATGTTTTGTCTGGCAAACCTCCGTGTATATCGGGGCTTTATACAACAATGAAGTTTATCAACACTCGATTGTATCATTTTTCCGACGCTTCTAAGTCTGTGCCTGGTAGATTTGTAGTTTTATTAGGCTCTGTTAAATATAATTAGTGGAAATATACAAATGCTTGGCTTGCAATAGGTATTGGATAATGAAGGACACATACCTCCTTCATCTGAAAAATAAGGAAAGAAAGTTAAATTACAAAGGATGTTTAAAGGGCAAAACAGCAAAGTCCATTCATGTACTATACTATGCTTCCTTGCACATGCTCCCTGCCTTCAGAAAGCGCCACTGACCAGCATGGTGAAGTATAGTCAAATAACCCCCATGACTCACTTGGCATGGGGTTGGGGGGCTCATCCAGGAGTGGATTGACAAAATGGTTGTACATGTACAGTTCAAGAGTCCGTGAACATGAGTAAGTTTTCAGTGTCAAAATGTCACTGCCCACCAGCTATATTCGTTAACAAAGTGCACCATCTGCTTTAAAGCGTATGTAAAATACCCTGTGACATTCTCATTGTTAGGAGTGGACAGATGTGTACTTAAGTCACATCTCAAATGCAATACTTTTAAAATTGCCCCAACTTAGCCAGGTGGCTCAGGTCAGAGTTGAGCTGGCACCGATGAGATCGTGGATTTGAATATGGACGGCTGCCCAAGATTCAACCCATGTTGTATGGGGATAGTGAGATTGTCTCAACCCAGTCACAAATGACTGCACAACGAAAACATTCTTTAGATTTGCACTGAATTTGCCGATATTTCAGCTCTGAGAATTAAAAGAGTATCGGTCTGATTGCAATGCGTTGAACAACTCTGTCTATAGCACACGAATAGCAAAGTGCTGCCCCCTATCATGGCTTAGAGGTAACATTTTATAACGGGTGTGTTGTGAGATCTTCATGACCGTGTTCTCATATGGGGTGATGCGCTGCCCTCTGAGCGTTCCAAATTGATTCTTCGTCTCGTGGCATGATGCCAAGAGCACAATCAGGATACAATTGCAGGGCAAAAAAAATGAAGAAATGTTTTCCCCATGTATCTTACAAAATAGTATCTCTACTTGACCAGTCAGCAAAGTCTCCCTTGTGAGAAATTAACAATTTCATTGAGCTCTCACTAAAATGTAGTGTAAGGCACCAAATTAAAATACAACATTATCATTACTCGGACCAAGATACATTATGATGAGCATCTCCAGGATGCCCAGAGGGTAAAGCAAAAGTGACAATTCGCCCTGAGCCTAACAGAAAAGAGGGTGCCACAACAAACCTGTATTTTCGTTGCAAAGGAATAAGGGGGCTTCAAGTGGCATTCTGCCCTTGGTCTCTAGCTGCCAGGCCTCCAGTAACCTATGGACAGCCCTGACTGCCCTGACTGCCATCACTATCGTTCCACCAGAATCCATGTTAACATCGTCATCACTACCACAGTCATTAAAATAATCAACCAGGCAGTGGTGGGACACGCCTGTGATCCGGAACTTTGGACGCAAGGGTTGGTGAATCACACAGGTTTGTGAAATGTGCTGGGCTGCAAGGTGGCCAAAAGATTGCAGTGTAGCAAGTGGGTTCATGAACCCATACTTCCGGATCGTTGAATATTATCCTCTCTCATTGGTGGATTTTCTCTATATACTCCAATTTCCTCAAGAAATACACTTCTGAACTACATATTTTCCAAACAACCCAATGTAGCAGAACTCTCCTAAGAATGAGTCTTCAGATACAGTTAACTACTGTTTTCCCGAGTAAATCAATATAACGATTTATTTATTTATACCTTAACATTCAACAACAACAAGTTACAGTTAACTCCCGATCATCCATGGATGGATTATCCAGCTTGCGGATTAACCGTGCTTGTGAAAAAAATAATATCTGTACGTGTGAAGGAGCGAGCGGTGGGGACGACTCACCAAGCTCCTGTTGAGGCCTCCGGTTTTCAGGGTCGTCCCCGTTGATGACGGCAGAGACGAGCAGCTCCGTGCAGTTGGAAATGCCCGGGTCGAGGCACAGAACTGCATTGCAAGACAATGGCAATGCTTCATTCACAATAACCTCCTGAGTGGCTTCGCTACTCATTCACTGACCGACTGTTCAGTTGCAAGTTGATTGAAGAAATCCTATTCCATAATTACAGAAGGTTTTCACCTTGGCCAGAAAAAAATATTTCTTAATATGGTTTTGGCATTTTCTTCGCTAAGTGTATTTCAATTGAAGACCTGCAATGCAGAGAGTCGCCCACTGAAAATGATATTGCACATGCAAGTGTCTTGATCCTGCACACAACAAGTACAGTGAGGGAAAAAAGTATTTGATTCCCTGCTGATTTTGTACGTTTGCCCACTGACAAAGAAATGATCAGTCTATAATTTTAATGGTAGGTTTATTTGAACAGTGAGAGACAGAATAACAACAAAAACAATCCAGAAAAAGCATGTCAAAAATTGTATAAATTGATTTGCATTTTAATGAGGGAAATAAGTATTTGACCCCTCTGCAAAACATGACTTAGTACTTGGTGGCAAAACCCTTGTTGGCAATCACAGACGTCAGACGTTTCTTGTAGTTGGCCACCAGGTTTGCACACATCTCAGGAGGGATTTTGTCCCACTCCTCTTTGCAGATCTTCTCCAAGTCATTAAGGTTTCGAGGCTGACGTTTGGAAACTCGAACCTTCAGCTCCCTCCACAGATTTTCTATGGGATTAAGGTCTGGAGACTGGCTAGGCCACTCCAGGACCTTAATGTGCTTCTTCTTGAGCCACTCCTTTGTTGCCTTGGCCGTGTGTTTTGGGTCATTGTCATGCTGGAATACCCATCCACGACCCATTTTCAATGCCCTGGCTGAGGGAAGGAGGTTCTCACCCAAGATTGACGGTACATGGCCCCGTCCATCGTCCCTTTGATGCGGTGAAGCTGTCCTGTCTCCTTAGCAGAAAAACACCCCCAAAGCATGTTTCCACCTCCATGTTTGACGGTGGGGATGATGTTCTTCAGAATCAGAATCAGAAAGAGTTTTATTCGCCATGTAAGTTCACACCGACACGGAATTTACTTTGGCAGGATGGTGCATACATTCAACATATAGGAATCTAAAATCTTAAATAAATCTTGGGGTCATAGGCAGCATTCCTCCTCCAAACACGGCGAGTTGAGTTGATGCCAAAGAGCTCCATTTTGGTCTCATCTGACCACAACACTTTCACCCAGTTGTCCTCTGAATTATTCAGATGTTCATTGGCAAACTTCAGACGGGCATGTATATGTGCTTTCTTGAGCAGGGGGACCTTGCGGGCGCTGCAGGATTTCAGTCCTTCACGGCGTAGTGTGTTACCAATTGTTTTCTTGGTGACTATGGTCCCAGCTGCCTTGAGATCATTGACAAGATCCTCCCGTGTAGATCATGAGAACGGTGATTCCTCACCATTCTCATGATCATTGCAACTCCAAGGTCTTGCATGGAGCCCCAGGCCGAGGGAGAATGACAGTTCTTTTGTGTTTCTTCCATTTGCGAATAATCGCACCAACTGTTGTCACCTTCTCACCAAGCTGCTTGGCAATGGTCTTGTAGCCCATTCCAGCCTTGTGTAGGTCTACAATCTTGTCCCTGACATCCTTGGAGAGCTATTTGGTCTTGGCCATGGTGGAGAGTTTGGAATTTGATTGATTGATTGCTTCTGTGGACAGGTGTCTTTTATACAGGTAACAAGCTGAGATTAGGAGCACACTCTTAAAGGGAGTGCTCCTAATCTCAGCTCGTTACCTATATAAAAGACACCTGGGAGCCAGAAATCTTTCTGATCGAGAGGGGGTCAAATACTTATTTCCCTCAATAAAATGCAAATCAATTTATAACATTTTTGACATGCGTTTTTCTGGATTTTTGTTGTTGTTTTTCTGTCTCTCACTGTTCAAATAAACCTACCATTAAAATTATAGACTGATAATTTCTTTGTCAGTGGGCAAACGTACAAAATCAGCAGGGGATCAAATACTTTTTTCCCCTCACTGTAGGTGGAAGTGCTGCACCAGTAAAATGTGCAGCCATGCTTGAAACGTCTTGCTGTATTTACGGAGGCAAATGAAATCACTTTTCAGAAGTAGCTGCCAGTTGGATATGCAGACCTGGAGACACGCCGGTGATCTCAGCGTGATAGCCGGTCTCCTCCTGCAGCTCCCGTAGAGCAGCTGCCTGCACTGTCTCCCCGCTGTCAACTAGGCCTGCACCGCACACCCCATACACACCGCACACACCGAGTCAGCGTCTTAACACAGAACTCTCCTTTCCTGCGTGAGCGAGCACAGCACTCGTACGCACACCCTCATGAAGCCCCAGAACATTAAGATATACATCGACACAACGAGAGCTAGAGTGCAAGGGATGGAAAGTTTCAATCAGGATAGTTTATTTGCAAGAGTGACTTGGGGCATATGTCTGCCAGTAGGGAGGGATGATTACTATGTATAACACCAATTGTGGAATTTGCGGTCATTTTATAATTTGGCATAATTTTACTCCAAAAACAGTACACAATAGCCTAATATTGCATATGATGGCAGGGGATCTCTAATGTCCAATGTGAAGCAGACGGCATGTTTGATCATGGTTAGTAATAATAATAATCAGGGCGGTCGCTGGATTAGAACCGTAAACGATTGCAACAAGTGGAGAACGCGTTACTGCTCGGCTGTGTGACCCGCCTTTAGATACACATCTCCCTAGCACCTCCCCCGTGATGGCACAGGAGAGGGTGGGAAAGGTCTTTTGGATGGGAAGGGAAGGCTTAAAAAAAAAAATCGGTATTTTTCTTCCCTGCACCCCCTGTCCCAGGCAATGTTGATTCTTTAGGACTAGTGGTTTAAACAAGCCTGAGTGCCTTACACATGCAGTGTAGTGATGTCATGAGATGTGCAATGCTTGATGGGAGGACTGGGCCAATGATCAAGATCACCCATTTAGTTCCAGCTCACATGCACTCTTCTGTCCAACAGGTTTCTCGTCATTTACAGAAAGGGTGATGATCAGAATTTTAGGATTTGCAATTATATGGCTCTTAAATACCGAAGCAACTCAATTTCATCTCAACCATTCCAAGGCTCTGCTGGAGTCTTGCCAAAGGGACCACCGGTGGCAGCTGTCCCTATGCTGCTCAAGGTGTATGCATAGCCGACGCGCACATGGGAATGTGCACTATGTGCAAACCATGTGTCGTCCAGAAGGAGGGCAATATTGCTGTGTTTTTTTTTTCTTCCCAATTAAGTCATTTACAGGTAATTGTTAAAAATTATCAAGAAGCAATGTTAGAATTAGTGGTGTTCCTGGTCAAACGACTAACTCACCGGCGGGCAGCTCTATCGTGTAACAGCCCATGGGCGGCCGGAATTGCTTCACCAGCAGCAGGCAGTCGTGGTGTAGCGTTCGCTTGAGGATGGCCATGATGGCTACACCTGTACGTGGGGGGGGGGGCGTGTGAGGGTGGTGTGGAATGAGCTGCAACGTAACAGCTAAACATATCTATTTCCTTAGGCTCAACTGCACTCACCGTTGCCTATTTTACAAAAACCCGTTAAATTCCCCGGGGCGTGCCGGTGTTGACTTGTCGCTGTGTGCCCACTTGTTGTTTTTGTCGGACAACATGCATAGTGCAAATGAGCATCCACGACAGCCAGCCCCGCATACTGAGCAACAGTTGTAAGGGATTTGGCTTTATTGTTGGGTTATAATCCGTTTAAGCCAACAAAATCATTGTCTACAGTGCAATGAAAACGCACTGCTCTAATAAGTGACCAAACCAAAATGGAAAGCAATCCTATCTTTACTTGACAAAATAAAGTTTTCATGTTTTAGGATCCCTGAAAATGCCAACTGAGATACATTAGACTATCAGTGTGCATCTATGCAGAGTGTTTGTGTTTCATGATTTGTTTTGACACAGAATATGATGTATTTGTATTTAGCAATCTGACGGTGTGTTTACCGCACAAAGCATTTGCTATCTCGTGTTTGAGGACAACTCTGTGCTGATAACACAATGTTACGAAATATTAGTGAGCTGAAAGTGAACAAAACACCACTAGATGGACAAATTTGGGTAATTGGTCAAAATTTAAATTACCAGACAGCTCTTCTTTGAAAAGGTAATTAAGCTGAAGATGGAAGGGCCCCGTGAGATGTAATTGCAAGGGGTGGCCAGCAAAGACGGCACGAGTAAAAGCGGCACAGTAAAGACACCACAGGAAAATGGCACAGGTAAAAACGGCACAGTAAAAATGACAAAGTAAAAACGGCACAAGTGAAAACAAATAATCATCGAGGTTTAGGGTTAACCATCTCTTTAATTCAGATCTGTATATAACTGTGAGCACTGTACTAACAGTTATAAGTAGTCCTGTTTGATAGTACCATTTTTTTCAGTTTACACCTGTGCCATTTTTTCCTGCACTATATCCTCCTGTGCCATTTTTTTCCTACGTCAGTTTTCCCCATGCCATTTTTGCCGACGATTAATTACGAGGCGACGCTTTGCGCTACGGGAGACGCCAGTGGCGGTCCTCACCGTCAGTGCCGCAGCTCGCCGTCCTCGTTGTCCTTTTCACGGTCTCCCAGGTCCTGCAGAGAAAGCCGTTCATGAGATTCACCGCACAATTTCACATCTGACTCTGAAATAGGTGCACATATATATATTTAAAATTACTCTCCCCCCATTGAAATATTATGAAATTGTCAATGTTGCCGGGTCAAGTTTCGATGCAACAATAATTTCTCGACTGGCCACCGTGGAGAATGCAGCACTTCTAGTAGCTGCTTGGGTCTTACGTGAACCAATCGCAACTTCGTCAACCAATCACATACAACGTATATGGATGGGTATTAAGAGATTCTTACGCACACAATTCTACGAAAGTATCGTAAACGTAAGAATCGATTTTAATCGATGGATCTTCACACATTTACGAAACACAAATAGTGCTGACATAGGCATTAAGGCAGAGAGAAAAGTATTCATCCCAAAATGGGCCCCCTACAGAGGGAAATAACCTTGGAAGAGATAATGTATAGGTTAATAGTATTTTTACTATAGCAACCGATGCTGAGCATAATACCACGATTATACATATTCATGTTGCATTTTTTTAATCTACGGCCCACTGTCAATCCACTGCTGGATGAACGTCCTCTCCATGCATGTGTCAGTCATGGGGGTTGCTTGACTATACTTCACCACGTTCGTCAGTACGGTATTGGTAAAGAGACCCAGTTTAGACAGCAACTATGTTAGCCATGGGCAGGAATCCAACTCAAGGTAGCTGGGTTCGTAGTGCCGTGCACGAGCCGCTGGGATACTCCTCCAGCATTAACCATATTGTTTAACAGTAATGCAAAGGAATTCTTAAAATATAAATTTAAAAGAACAAAAAAACAAGACTTTGAAAAAAGACCTTATTTGTCCTTTTGGATCCAAGTATGTTGTCTGTTCCACTTTAAGCCATTTTCCAGTCCAGAGAGCCTACGATGAGATTAGAGGAAGGTGTTTCTGGATGCCATTCAAAATTATTGCAATCCTTTGTGAAATTAAACATTGTGATGGTGGAATTACTGACTCAGAAACTGACTCACCTCTTCCTTAACCACCTTTGACTTAGCAGCATGAGGGCCATCTTTTTTCTCCATTCTCTTCCTTCAACTGCAATTTAAAAAAATACTGTTGTCATTGTTATCTTATAACCATAGGTGATCGCCATTGAGCAACTGATGTAAAGTTGAATAATATTCAAGAAGGGCCACATTTTCCAATTTGGGCCCTCTAAATTTATGGTCCAGAGGTTGATTGGTTTCACTCGCTGGCCTGGGATTGTCTAATATTCTGATTTGAATGAAGTCTCACACTAAATACGTAAATGTATGCAAATCGTCATCTTCAGTGAACAAAGTAATTCAACTTCCATGGAATGTGACACTATGTCTGACAGAAAACAGGCAAGGCCTGCTACGGTTACTTTAATACTGCAATGCACGTACGTTTTCCATTACAATAATGTGTACCGCGTATCCGACTGTCACATATACACCCTGACCAAGTAGCCACCCACACTTCGCGCAGTATGTGGGTGGGGTAACTGTCATTTTTTGCAGACGTTCACAAAATCCAACCTTTTCACAAGCTTCAAATCAAGATTTTCACAGAATGTTTGAATGTATGTATGCTTCAAATTGCTCTTTCACACCATACGTAGCCAACAGTAATGGATTGTTAACCACGCAAGCATTCGCTTACTGCCAAAGCATAGAGCACTGCCCCATGTTTAAAGCAGTTTTCGCAATATTGTACACATTCCTGTGGAGGGGGCTGGTAGGAACGTTGGTTGCTCGGTCAGTGACCAGGGTCAACGGCGGCGTGGTGTATTCCGCAAATATGCCCGACTGTGAGGGCGGGCACAAGCCGGCGTGAGTAGGTGAAACGTTGAGTTTTATAAGGCACCACGGGGTGACCAGCCCCTCCCCACCCAGCCCCACCCAGCCCCACCCAGCCCCACCCAGCCCCCACCCAGCCCCCACCCCTCCCACCCCCCACCCAGCCCCACCCTCCCCACCCAGCCCCGTCCTCCCCACCCAGCCCCGTCCTCCCCACCCAGCCCCACCCAGCCCCTCCCCTCCCCACCCAGCCCCTCCCTACCTTCCACTCTCCACCCAGCCCCACCCCTCCCATTTTTTATATCCGAATGTCCGGATACACGTGGACAGACATCCACAGACATACACAATTAATCCCCTGCCTCCTGTGAGAATTAATCCCGGTTGGGCTTCCAGTCCACTACGTTTCCTACCAGTAATGCCCACTAGGAGCGCATTTGTAATATATCCGGGTGTCCAAATACACATGGACAGACATCCACAGACATACACAATTAATCCCCTGCCTCCTGTGAATTAATCCCAGTTGGGCTTCCAGTCCATATAAGGGCACCACGGGGTGACCAGCCCCTCCCCACTCAGCCCCACCCCACCCTCCCCACCCAGCCCCTCCCCACCCTCCCCTCCCCACCCAGCCCCTCCCTACCCTCCCCTCTCCACCCAGCCCCACCCCTCCCACGTGGACAGACATCCACAGACATACACAATTAATCCCCTGCCTCCTGTGAATTAATCCCGGTTGGGCTTCCAGTCCACTACGTTTCCTACCAGTAACAGTAACCTATTTGTACGTGGCGTAACTGAAATTTTCCATAGATGTTCTCATATCCCACCTTTTGAAATATCTGCCTGAACTTCGGTTTCCAGCGGGGAAGATATGCAAAGTTGTACTGTATCAATAGCAGGTACATTGGAAGTCCTGTATCTCAATATAGGACATAGGTAAACATGGTATACAAACGTGGTTTTGATGGGGGTGAGTTATCTAATTCTACATCCCTCTTTTGTCAATCCACTGCTGGATGAGGGCCCCCGCCCACACACCACGTGGGTCATGATTTCACTATACTTCACCGTGCTGGCCTGTGCAAAGTTGGTGAAGCAACTATTCTACAGTGTACTGGTCAACATGAAAAATGTCAATGTGGCATTTGGCAGGAATACTCTAATGCGTTTCAGCTGTAACTGGCATTTTATGTCATTGGACTTTTGTGCTTTCTTTGGCATTCGATACCAATCAAACTGCTGAAAGAACAACAAATCGTATTACAAAATATATGTATGTGCACACGGTTTGACAGTGGTTAAATACATATAACATTTGAACTTTCCATCCGTTTCATTATCGTTACATACGTGTATTTACATTCATCAATCAAAGCTTTGGCCAACTAATACTTTTGCCACTGAAAAAAACTAATTTTCACCTGTCAGATGCAATCAACTCCTATAATCAACACATGCCCACATCTATGGGAAAGACGGGTTACACCCAACATACACAGATCCTGCATTGGGTGTAGTAGGTTCATTGATCAGGGCGTAAATATGCAGTGTTGTACCTGAACACACCTCTGAGTGTTTAAATTTGAAAACAAGATGAGGGAGGTTACGCCTATCATTATCACGAGCTGGTCCGTGGTTAAAGGCAATAATGCACGCCCAAACAGTACACAATGTCACGCATTGCAAATGTACAAAGGTGCCTATGCACGAAATAAGGTACATGAATTAACAGGTAAATTAACAAGTGCAAACAAATAATACTCTTACTATCAATGAGTGAAGTAAACATCGTGACGTTTCGGCCCACTGCCCTTCACCAGGAAATCATTATTTCGTGTCACGGTGCGGGGCTTTTGAAACCCTGGCCAAGTGTCTGCAATCGTCTTCTTCTCCATCGTTCTTTCGGTAAAGTCACGTAAGTAAGAACCAAAGAGTATGGATTCCTGCACAGACACGAAAGCTTCAAATCAAGATCGTCTTAAATTCTTCAATCGTGCCGCAGGTCGCGATGGGCAGGTCTCGTGTAGTGGGGTAAAATGTGGGTACTCCCACCCTTTACCAAGACGACGTCTGCACCAGCGTGGACGAGTAGGCCAAAAATCCCTCCTCCCCACTCAAGAGATATTTCTCTTGAGTGGGGAGGAACCCTTGGGCCGAGGGTGGTGTGAGAAACCCATTGCGAGAGGGCTGTACCTTGGCCTCTGGCTACGAGCCGAAATATGCTGCCCAAGTGTAAGGAGAGCCCAGCGTGGGGTGTCAACACCTCCACGTCAACGTGACACATCAGGGTGGTGCGGCTTAGTAACAGAGGGTGCCTTAGCCTGCCTCGATGATGTTTCAGCACAGGACAGGGTGGTCCATATGTCTTGTGACTTCACCCTCCTCCCCCCCCCCTCCAGCCCCCATCAATGTAATGATCAAAAAGGTTTTATTTAGAACAGAAATTAACATGTGAAAACGTGGGGGGGGGGTGATAGGGTCAATTAATTAGGGGTCACAAAACATCTGGACCACCCTGCAAAACATTGCGTATAGCCATGACTCGACTTAGCAGCACACTGTGTTGTAGTACATACGTGCCAAATAGGCCATCTAAAGCCCTCCGGGCTAAACCAACTGAAATCCGTCATTAATAAACAATGCATAATCGAAGAATACGCACCGTGCTTACGGTGTCACATTGTGCACTTGTGATATGGCCGAGCATCAACAACACGTGGCGTTAACGAGCTTGGCTGAGTAATCCCATAAAAGGAGGGCGGTGCTAACACAAAACACACACTCGACGTTCTTCACAACAGCCGCACACAGCCAGCGTAAGGGAAACGGATCGCGTTTGTAACGCGCAAAACACGGGTTGAGGGGTAGCTTACGCCGCAGCTCACGGGGTGTCGCACGACGTAAAGCAGCGCCCGGCGGACGAGGAGGGACGGCCGACGGCGGCGAGACCCGAGGCGGGCGCGGAGTGAATAAACAAAAGGCGGCAGGGGAGGAGAGTGGTCAGCCTCTGCTGCCGGGTCACTCGCACGGCGCGCGCTGTGACACCACGTGGTGTAGCCAGGGCCGGAAACCCCGCCCCGCCCTCAGCTACCACCCCCCGCCATCAGCTACCCCCCCCCCGCCCTCAGCTACCCCCCCGCCATCAGCTACCCCCCACCCTCAACTACCCCCCCCCCCGCCCTCAACTATCCCCCCCCGCCCTCAACTACCCCCCCCGCCCTCAGCTACCCCCCCCGCCCTCAACTACCCCCCCCCCGCCCTCAACTACCCCCCCCCCGCCCTCAACTATCCCCCCCCGCCCTCAACTACCCCCCCGCCCTCAGCTACCCCCCCCGCCCTCAGCTACCCCCCCCGCCCTCAACTACCCCCCCCCCCGCCCTCAACTACCCCCCCCCCGCCATCAGCTACCCCCCCGCCCTCAGCCGCCCTCAACCTCCCTCAACCTCCCCACCCTCAACCACCCTCCAATCCCCCACCCTCAACCCCCCCCCCCACCCTCAGCTACCCCCCCCCCGCCCTCAGCTACCCCCCCGCCCTCAGCCGCCCTCAACCTCCCCACCCTCAACCACCCTCAACCCCCCACCCTCAACCACCCTCCAACCCCCCCACCCTCAACCACCCTCCAACCCCCACCCTCAACCCCCCCCACCCTCAACCACCCTCCAACCCCCCACCCTCAACCACCCTCCAACCCCCCACCCTCAACCACCCTCCAACCCCCCACCCTCCAACCCCCAACCCTCAACCACCCTCCAACCCTCAACCACCCTCCAACCCCCCCCCCACCCTCAACCACCCTCCAACCCCCCCACCCTCAACCACCCTCCAACCCCCCTCCAACCCCCCCACCCTCAACCACCCTCAACCCCCCCCCATCCTCACCCCCCCTCCACCACTCCCCTCCCACCCCCACCTCCCCCCGCCCCGCTACATCCGGGTCCTGTACGCGGCGCGTCACTTCCCGTGCCCGCAGCTCCTCACTGTACCTGACTGTACACGACGGCGCGCCTCTCAAAGCAAGCTCGTGATTTGGGCAACTCGTCCATCTGCTGTCGCCTTATAACTCCACTGCGACAACTTAGACCGTGCTGATCCTGGCACGCTCGTTGCGATTCCAAAGATCGGACTTTGTTCTATGCGAGACCAAGCTTTTCGCAGTCAGGTTCCGCTATTGTGGAATTACCTTCCTCGGGTCATTCGGAAATCCGAGTCTTGTGACACTTGTGCCTTTTATTATTACACGATTTTTATTAACTCACTCTTGTTGTTGTCGTATCCTCTAATCTTGTAACTAAAGTTGATCCCACTTCCCAATGTGGTATCGACTGCAAACTTGGTATACTTATGTCATACTGATGACAATACTATCTTCTATCATTAAAAATATATATATATTTTTAAACATTCTCTTTTACATGTTATGTTTCAGCTTGGGTCTAATTGTCCACGCTCAACTCACGTTGGCTGTAATTGCCCACGGCCCCCTTAAGCTTCGGGGCCACTTCCTGGAGTTCTTGATTACTAGTACGGTACATTTCATTAAAGCGTGTTTCTAAAAAAATATATATTTTTTAAATATTACTTATTTTTTGTTACACGTGTCTTAAAAGTCACCTGTGTTTTTATTTAAGTATTCACAAGAGCCCAATAGAGAACGCGAACGTCGGGGAGGGAAGAACAAGTCAATGGCGAGCGACAGACAGGGCGAAGGTTGCCTGGCCTCGCTGCCCGCGACTACTCCCGTTGGGGCAACAATCGGAGAGAAACATTTTTTTTATATATAAGGGAGAGGGGAGAGTAGAATGTAACCAAACAGAACCGAAAATAAAATAACATACACGCGGCGACTGTGTGTTTATCATTCTTACAGATCCCCAGGAGCAACGGTGCCCAATATGTTTACAGAGAAAGTGTGTTGTCAATAGTCCATCCCATCCCCCATTTAGCTGTCTGCTCACGTCGGGTTTAGTAGAAACGAGGACGAAGCTGTCACTTGTTTTTAACAGGCTTCCTCCACCGCTTTAGGCGTCGTGTAAAACGCGTTGAGGCTTTTGTGCGAAATGCGAGTTTGTTCATTCCGTGGCATGATGAACCAAATCATTCCAACCGCGAATACGCAACCAATGGAGAGATGAGGTGGGGAGGGTGGTGGATCGGCCACTGAACGGCACGGGAAGTTCTCGTCTGCCCCAGCTTGCGAACAGTGAGAGGTTCTTTCCTTGGCCTTTATCCCCAAATTACTGCGGCACTACCTGTGATTTTACCATGTCAAACCGGTTGTGAAACACTGCTGTAGACGCAGCACGTTCTGTGTTGTGTAAACCTAAAGTCAAATATTTACTTACTCTACACTGCTATCTGGATAGTATATTGAAATCTGTTCAAGCCTCGTGTAAATCACGTTGAATCCCTATCCATCTATATCTACACGAGCTCAAAGCTCGCGTACATAAACAATTGCATTTTTTTTATTTTCGCGAGCCTTGAGCTATAATAATTACAACAACAATAACACAAGCTCTGCGGTCCGCTTTATATACATGCAGGTGTTGTCGGTCGATGAATGAGTGTTTACATGCGAGAAGAAACCGGAGCACCTGGAGAAACCCCACTCGTGCAAGGGGGAAGCACTCTATCCCATACAGACTGAACTGGAGAAACCCCACTCGTGCAAGGGCGAAGCACTCTATCCCAAACAGACTGAACTGGAGAAACCCCACTCGTGCAAGGGCGAAACACTCTATCCCAAACAGACTGAACTGGAGAAACCCCACTCGTGCAAGGGGGAAGCACTCTATCCCAAACAGACTGAACTCGCGGACCGCACGTGTTCGCTCAACTGCATTCTGGCGAGCCAGGGTATAGCAGCTCGCCCAGGGGAAGGGAAGTTTCACAACGCGGGTGATCTACCAACCCTCTCTCGTCAGTGCTGGATAATTATAGGCGTGCACCAGCACACGTATGTAAGATGAACATCGTTCGCACCGTGCGTACTCAGCCGTGCTAATCGGAGGTGGTGGGGGGGAAGGACAAGCTAAACACAAAATGCACGCTTCACACTTGGCAGGAGGGTTGAAGACGTGTCCCAGTACTTACTCGGAAAGCATAACTTGTACAACAGCAGTATGCAATGTATCCAATAGAGGGCGCACGGGACACGTCTAAGACGTATGAACGACTTGTGTCAACTTGATAGTAAATTGTTGCACTAAATTAATTCGTTCTCTTTTCCTGGCAGTCAGGTACAAAACCGGGGTCATGTACGGTTGTAATTGTGTCATTCGTAATGAACTGCAATCACGAATGTAAGTGTAATTTCAGCTAACAACGCGGCTGGAATTGTAATTACAGTTGACCTCAGGTCTGGTTTTGTGCGCCCAGTCAGGGATGTGCATCTGATTCGACAAACTCTCAATATAAGTGGTGGAGAACATGCGACTTCATTTCATACGACCCGTGGCCATATGAGACCACTTCAAAACGACCTTAAATCAAGCACAGTCCCCGACTTACGACCGCAATTAGTTCCGTTCCTGAGATCCGTTCATTGGCCGAATTGTTCGTAAGTCGGAACACGATGCCGTATACGTATTGACGGCAGACACGTTAGCCGCACGAGAGGGGACTATTTGCGACCTCGTAAAATTATTTCAACACTGCACCGCTGATGCTGTTAGTCGGTCGTGTTTGCTCACATCTATTATTGATGGTGACCTAAGACAAGCAGGACCACGATTCATATCTTTAGGAAATGCTAATGGTGTTTGCATATGCACGGGTGCTGTGTGCTTTTGACAAATTGTGTGTGTGTTCTTTAAAAGTCTCACGCCTGACATGCAGAGATTTAAAAAAAAATTGAGACTTCGGTGACCTAAAGACCAATACCTACATCATAAAGCAGTTAATCTTTAATCAGGTATGGGCGCCACCCTTAGATCTGGAACCAGTTGTTACGCTGCTGAATTGGGAAGCAGAGGTCATGTTTCAAGATCATTAACGAGCAATGGCCATTTCCCTCAATTTAAGCGCATACCAGAGGGAATTTGCTTGTTTTATGATGCTCCGCTTTTGGGCTTACAACATCGAGCATGCGGTTGAAAACAACGCCTTGTTTTGCAAGGACATACCAATAACCCATTTGTCAATCCCATTACTGGATGAGAGCCTCCCACGCCGTGATGGCCGTGGGGATTTATTTGACCACTGGTTATAACCCTATTGAAATACCACTTTGAATCGGCAAAAATTTAGTCAGCGATGCAATGTCCATATGGAGGTAGAATGGGGGTATATTTATCTTCGGGATAAAGATTATGATTTTGAATATAGACTCAGAACAGATTTTAAACAGAGACGCAGTCTAGCACGTCTATTGGACAATATTCATGTGTACAGCACTATTATAGGTGCATGACGATGCATCGACTCATTGATGTTCAAAGCTCACGTGAGTAAATGTTTTTAAATTATTGCCAATGATATGTTGTTATATTTCCATTCCATAGTGCTAATAAAAACTCGACAGAAAAAACGAGTCAGTTTATTTTGGGTAAGAGTTCAGAAGCGCGTCTTCAATAGGTGACACAAACGAGATGGCAACACGAGATAACAATGATCGAATATTTTTTTCATCTAATCGCGGCCATGAATCGTAACAGTTCATTGAATCTACGGGAAGGTGAAAGCGGTCCATCCTTCAGCTGTGTCGGTCCGTGGCTCCAGGTTGAGAAGGCAACAGAGTCCACCTCGGGGTTTCCAGTCGCAGGTGACAGACAACGGCGTGCGTGTGTACTTACTGTAAATTGATCACTGGAACACAAAGACAACGTTGTTGTTATAATGATGAAGGCACCGGTGCTGGGATCCCAGCAGCCAGCTTTCTCCTGGGAACCTGCGCGAGCAAAGCCACTGCCAGTGCATAATTCGAATGAGTCTCTATGTGAATCTGTGAGTGTGCGGTTGTCTATGTGAGTCTAAGGGTGTCTATTTGAGAGAGCTCTGATGATGATGATGATGAAAGCCACTGGCAGCGCATTCCAGTTTCTCTGTGGGTCTCGATGTGAGTCTGGTGCCTTCTTGTTATTTTTGGTTTCCGACCCCTGGTCTATATTATGCGAATCGATGAGTGTCTGAGACTTTGTGTCTACGTGCGAGCAAGCTTGATGGAGCCACTCCTCAGCATATTTCCATTTTATCAGCGAATCCACCTGAACGCATTATCACCTCCGATCAGCTCGGTGGTCTACGTACGGTGTCAAAGAAGTTCAACATACACGCCTGAGACCAGAAAATCCGAGGTGGACTTTGTGGAGCCATTACAACCCCCTCTGACCCTCATGTATGTACAATTTGGTCCTGCATGACGTACATTGAAAAGGTTAACTTGAGCCTGTTCTGGCCAAGGTTCATGGGTGTCAATAAACAAATATAGAGAACGGAAAGCCATGTTAATCCACTTCTGGATGAGGGCCTCCTTATGCCGTGGGGGGGGGGGGGGGGGGGGGGGCGCCGAGGTTGTTTGACCATACTTCACCACGCTGGTCAGTGCGGGTTGGTGAAGGCGGGGAGCACATAGACGTGGGAACATAGAAGCACAGTGCAACGCAATGTTTTAAATACGTAACGGATTACAATATTATTTAAATTATATAAAACACGATTATGGCAATACAGTTATAATGGATCGCTCGTTGTCAATCCACTGTTGGATGAAGTCTTCTACACGCCGAGGCAGTTATATGGGGGATTTGACCATACTTCACCACGGGGGTCAGTGCGGGTTGTTGATGGGAGCCCCAGGCCCAGTTCAGATATCACTCGCTATTCGATGTTATAGCCGTGGTCGAGAATTGAACGCAGGTTGGCTGAGTTCATAGGTCAGTGCGCTAGCCACTACGCCACCGCTCCCCTCCTATACGCCACTGTATTAAGGAAAGTCAAGGTTGACACACATATATATATGAACCTTATGGCTCTCGCATAATGTCCGTGATGCGGTCATTTTTCGTCTGTTGACGGTCGGCGATGCGGCAATCGACTCATCTCGACGAGCTGTACTCACGATGCACCACCACCACCACGATGTGTACCACGGGCGTTCAGGGTTTCGGCGTAATCGTCCTCGCTGCGTTTCGACATCGCGGAGTAGCAAAGATTTCGGATTGATTGGTTATCCCAGTCGCGGAGTGAAGTACACCCCTGGGAAAAAAAAATAGTGTCCCAGAAATAAACCATTTAATAATTGCCTCGGCAATTCTGTATTCTTTGGTACCCCGGGGTACCGCCAGAAGGATAATTTGACTTTACATAGCAGGTTGCGATGCACAGTAGACCTCATGTGTAATCTATCACTACATCTATTCCCAAAGTCAACCATTCGCAATGATGCAAATCACGGCGCAGTCGTTTTACTTGGTGTGTGCATGTTATTTGCGGAGAGAGAAAAAAACCGAGTGAAGCATTTGTCCCTCGGTATTTGCAAATGATATGTTTTGTAAGCTATATGCAATTATATATAAACACAGTGCTGAGATTGTATCATTAAAAGCCTTGACATGCCTGTATGCCCGCGTGCATGCAAATGCGTTTCACAACACAAATACACCTTCAACTAGAGTGCTGTAACCCACACATGTTAACCGCCCTGTTGTCGATCCACTGCTGGATGAAGGCCTCCCCGCGGCGTGCGAATCGCGGGTGCTTAATTCTAGATTTAAAGCTTTCGTGACTGCAAGGATCCATACTCTTTGGTTCACGACGTTTAGACCACTTGTGTTGAGGCCGAAACGTCGTGATTTTTGTTGTTTTATTTTTTATGTTTCGGCGACTTGTGTTGTGGCCGAAACGTCGTGATTTTTGTTGTTTTATTTTTTATGTTTCGGCGACTTGTGTTGTGGCCGAAACGTCGTGATTTTTGTTGTTTTATTTTTTACGTTTCGGCCACTTGTGTTGTGGCCGAAACGTCGTGATTTTTGTTGTTTTACTTTTTATGTTTCGGCCACTTGTGTTGTGGCCGAAACGTCGTGATTTTTGTTGTTTTATTTTTTACGTTTCGGCCACTTGTGTTGTGGCCGAAACGTCGTGATTTTTGTTGTTTTATTTTTTACGTTTCGGCCACTTGTGTTGTGGCCGAAACGTCGTGATTTTTGTTGTTTTATTTTTTACGTTTCGGCGACTTGTGTTGTGGCCGAAACGTCGTGATTTTTGTTGTTTTATTTTTTATGTTTCGGCGACTTGTGTTGTGGCCGAAACGTCGTGATTTTTGTTGTTTTATTTTTTATGTTTCGGCCACTTGTGTTGTGGCCGAAACGTCGTGATTTTTGTTGTTTTATTTTTTACGTTTCGGCCACTTGTGTTGTGGCCGAAACGTCGTGATTTTTGTTGTTTTATTTTTTACGTTCGGCCACTTGTGTTGTGGCCGAAACGTCGTGATTTTTGTTGTTTTATTTTTTACGTTTCGGCCACTTGTGTTGTGGCCGAAACGTCGTGATTTTTGTTGTTTTATTTTTTACGTTTCGGCCACTTGTGTTGTGGCCGAAACGTCGTGATTTTTGTTGTTTTATTTTTTACCTACGTGACTTTACCGAATAGAACCAAAGAACGCGGGTGCTTACTTGACTACACCACTTTAGCAGACCAGTCGCAATGTGCGTCGGTCAGCAATGATTGGGTTTCCCCACATCACATCCATCTGCACGCAACGTGCGTCTCTATGTATTTACAGCAGCGTTCGCTGCATAAGTGCACGTTAATAACACGTGCTCCTGCACCCTATGTGTATGCAGTGGTGGTGCACAGGCCACTAAGTCCCGAATGCAGAACTTACCTTGGGATGCTGCGTCACCCGTCACAGATTCTATTCTGGACACCCTAAGTTTTCCTGCATGATACGAGAGTTGTTTGAACGAATTAAAGGCAACGCACCATATTAGCAAATACCATAACACGTATGTGTGTGTTATAGCGTCATTGGAATAATGAGACATATACAGGACGTGAACTTATTTTTAGAATCAGAGTTAAGGGCTGATATTTGGTGGTGCACCATTGTTTAGGTATCAATCCCATCATCCCCTTGAGCTGTTTGAGACCCAAAGTTTTTAGCTTCGCTCTTGTATGTCTAAGTGCTACCGATTGCCCGTGTCTATGTGTGGGGAGCGGTAATATAGCGGTTAAGGCGCTGCTGTGCTACGAACCCACTGAGGATTATCTGAACCGGTCCTGGGTTCCCTCCCCCGAGGTCGACTCAACCTAAAATAAGTGTCCGGTGCGTTGTGGAGTAAATATCGCCATACCGGGTGAGACAAAGGCGGTCGGGCGCGTTGTTGGGCCACACACCCACCTCGTATGCCCTGCCGGCCTTCATAAGCACTTGCCCCAACAGTCTGTTTTCAGGCTATACGGGGCGCGTGGTGGGAGGAGGAGTGAATCTTCGTGGCCACACCAAGTGAAAGAACGTGCCGCCAACTGCATCACAAAAGGCAATCTCTACTCCGCCCAGAGAGAGGCGGTGCCTTCTCCCGCATCAATGGGGGGGTAGGGGTAGGGGGGGGCGTGTTGAGAGATCTGATCATGACAACCAGACTCGCCTTGCTCGCTACATCCACCAGGGCAGCAGCGCAGGCACACACGCACACTCGCTTAAGCCAGCCAGCCAGCCGGCCACACCAGTGTAGCCCGGCTCACGTGGCTGCCTGCTGTGTTGTGGCTGGCGCGTTGGGAGGATCGAGGCGGTTTGAGCAGGGGGGGTGGGGGGGGGTCATTCTTGCGCGCCGCTCCTTTAAAACGAAAAAGAATCCAACATTTAAACCCCTGGCCGCAACTCAGAACAGGTGTAGTAGGGTAGATGAGGCTCACCTGTGAAGCCACCCCCCCCCCCCACCCGGTCTGTGTTCTACCCAGCGGGCTTCTCGTGTGATGCAGCTAGGTGTCGTGACGATGGTGGCAATGGCGTGATTCAACAACGTAAGGTGCGGATGAATTGATCGCAGGAATTGATCGATCAGTGAATGAATGGTTGCTGATCTGCGAAGAGGCTTAGGGTGCTGCTGCGATCGGTCTTATGAAGGCGGCACTGATATTCAGTGGTTTATCAATTAGGTAGCAATCAACAAGCAAGTAATAAGATTGCGAACAACCTATAACAATACTGTCAACGTAATTGTATTTTTTTCTGCTTATGTATGAATGATAGGCTATAGACTCATGCAGCCGAGAGACACGCGTCGGTCAGCAGTTGGAGTTGTATCAGATTGAGAATTCCAGCTGTGTCCAGGTGTGGGAGGATATCCGCAGCCTCCATAATCATCATCAGCAGCAGCAGCAATATCAGCATCGCCCAGGAAGGGCAGAATCGGAAGCGTTATTCAACAGCACAACCTGCAGCAGCCGAATCATCATCAACAACAACAGCGGCATCACCACACTGGTCTCTCAAGGCTCGAGCGATGAACATTGAGCATCACCAGGAGCTGACTCTGCTCTACCCGGCCATGAGGATGAAGGGAGCCTTCTCGCCCTTCCGCCGCAAGAAGGTGGTGCACCGACACGTGAGGACCATCTTCGACAGCACCGGCAGCGACCCGAGGCTGCGGGAGGAGAAGGGAGAGGGACACGAGTTCCGACCCTACACCAACCCGCAGTTCTGCGACCTCTGCGGCGAGTTCATATGGGGGGTCTACAAGCAGTCCCTACGCTGCCGGAGTGAGTAGTGATTGAGTGTGTTTGTGTCTGTGTGTGAGAGAGAGAGAACGTGTGAGAAAGTGTGTGCGTTGGTAATTGTGTGAGCGAGAGTGCGAGTGAATGAGGGTGTGTGTGTGTGAATGTGTACATGTGATTGAGTATAAATGAGAGAGTGAATGAGATGGTGTGTGTGAATGTGTACATGTGATTGAGTATAAATGAGAGAGTGAATGAGATGGTGTGTGTGTTAATGTGTACATGTGATTAAGTATAAATGAGAGAGTGAGTGAATGAGATGGTGTGTGTATGAATGTGTACATGTGGTTGAGTATAAATGAGAGAGTGAGTGAATGAGATGGTGTGTGTGAATGTGTACATGTGATTGAGTATAAATGAGAGAGTGAATGATATGGTGTGTGTGTGAATGTGTACATGTGGTTGAGTATAAATGAGAGAGTGAGTGAATGCGATGGTGTGTGTGAATGTGTACATGTGATTGAGTATAAATGAGAGAGAGAGAGTGAATGAGATGGTGTGTGTGTAAATGTGTACATGTGATTAAGTATAAATGAGAGAGTGAGTGAATGAGAGGGTGTGTGTGTGAATGTGTACATGTGATTGAGTATAAATGAGAGTGTGAGTGAATGAAAGGGTGTGTGTGTGTGTGAATGTGTATATGTGATTGAGTGTAAATGAGAGAGTGAGTGAATGAGATGGTGTGTGTGTGTGTGAATGTGTACATGTGATTGAGTATAAATGAGAGCGAGTGTGAGTGAATGAGATGGTGTGTGTGTGAATGTGTACATGTGATTGAGTATAAATGAGAGAGTGAGTGAATGAGAGGGTGTGTGTGTGAATGTGTACATGTGATTGAGTATAAATGAGAGAGTGAGTGAATGAGAGGGTGTGTGTGTGAATGTGTACATGTGATTGAGTATAAATGAGAGAGTGAGTGAATGAGAGGGTGTGTGTGTGAATGTGTAAATGTGATTAAGTATAAATGAGAGAGAGTGAGTGAGTGATTGAGAGGGTGTGTGTGAATGTGTACACGTGATTGAGTATAAATTAGAGAGTGAGTGAGTGAGTGAATGAGATGGTGTGTGAGTGTGTGTATGTATGACCAAGAGTGTGAGTGATAGAATGTGTGTAACTGTATAAGTGAATTTATGTTTGAATGTACGCATCTGTTGGTGTATGAATGAGTAGACGTGTGATTGAATTAATGTGTGAGTGTCCGTGTGGGACTCCGTATCAGCCAGTGTGTGTGAGCAAATGTGAGGGTGCGTGAGTTATGTGTGAGTGAATTCATATTTGCTTTCTAGCAGCACTTACCCTAACCGTCTGTTAATAATATACGGGGGATCTTTATTGTCGTGTGTCTAGTTTATGTGTTACACATTTGTACATACATATGCAGTGCAGCATGTTGTGTTGTATGGGTGTACCTGTGAATGCGTCTCAAAGTGTTCAACTGCATATGTAAATGCATGTTGACTTAATATTTACAATAAATAATACAGGTGTGTGGAATTATGCCTGCTCAGACACGGGCGCTGATTCGCAGTCCCTTGCTCGTGTGCTTGCTTCATCGCTGTAATTATACAGAGCAGTGACGTGCGGTGAGGTCAATGGCTGGGGAGGCACTGGCTAGTGTCAGAGCCAGATTCACACACTGAGGGGGGCGTGGCCTCACGGAGGGGGCGTGGCCTCACTGAGGGGGGCGTGTTAGACACGTCTCCCTCAGTGAGGCAGATGTGATAGCTGCCTCCCCTGGTGCTTTTTCGTTGCAGTTTCATTACGAGACCAGCGAGCCTAAATATTTTTTATACACATACGTGAAATAAGTTACCTGGAGTATGGAACGCGAGTACATTAAATTAAGGGGTCTACAAACATTACATTGGTGACATACTGAGATAGTAACATGCACGCACTTATTGCCCGCGCTCCATCCAGTTACTGAGGGGTTGCGCAATTAGAGGGGAGGCTGAGCGCGTCGCTGCCTCACCTATCGTCTCGTCCTGTATTTGCAACGGATCTCCGCAAATTTGTCGATTTTGACTATAAAAATGATTGGAATCGTACAGAAACGACATTTATAACACAGATCAGTGTAAATATCTTTTTATTTATTTAATTTGCTTATTATTTTCTTTTTACTTTTCGTAACGGCTATTTTAATTGGAGTATGACAGGTGAGGCTCTGTCTCCCCTGCCTCCTCTGACCGCACGTCCCTGATACACAGTGTCCAATTAAAATCACATTTGGATCTTTGCTCTTTGCACCATTTAACTCCATCCGTTATTGCAAACGGCGCTTGTGTTTTTTTAATCAATAACACAATCAACCAACGGGCACATGGCTGATACGGCACAATAAAAACCTGCCGTATACGGGGAAACTCGTTGTATCCAATGTGATAGGAAGGGGATGGGGGGGGGGGCTGAATCCTACTCTATGTGCTTATCCTCAACGCAGATAATAGGTTACATTTACAACCACATTTCACTCACTCCTGTCCGTGGCGTAGAGTGCTTGGCGTGGGACCAGGTGCAAGGAGAGTAGTGGGGCCCCCTCTATTAAATTATCCAACCCCCCCTCCCCCTTCTGTATAACCCAGCACCTGGGTCCTCCTGGCCCGTGGGCCTGAGTGCAGTTGCACCACCTGCACACTCGATAGCTGATTGCACAGGCTCCTGTTTTCCGTGCGATGGCTTGGCTAATACGAAGCGTGTGACGCAGAGGTGATGGGAAGAAGGTACGTGGATCACTCGGGCTCTATGGATAAATAGGGACGCTCGTATAAGAGGGCATCGGAAATGAAGAGTATCAACCTCGTTGCAATTGCACACCACACAGCGCCTGGCCCTTCACTTGCGAGGCGTGTTTTGCAATCCCCGTGGGCGCTTGGGCGATTCCAACACTACCGTGTACCCTTTAATTTAAGGCTGTCAGTTGCAGATGGCATTTCTGAAAATGAAAAGGCCAAGAAGTGTTAATGCTGAGCTGCAAGAAGTCAGTGGGTAGCTATGTCACAGTGAAGTCAATACACCCAGGCGAGTATTTTTCATTCCTTTGTTTGTTTTGTCGGTCCTACCAATGAATTGCTTTGAAGCACACTCATTCGTTCTTTAAGCCACGTGGAAGGCAGTCCGTATGATTCTGAAGAGGGTGATCCCTCACTTATAATAATACCTTTTGCCCGGAAAAAAAACCTCGCAGAGTCCTTAGGACTATGCATGAGAATCCTGCATTGGAATGTATGGCCAATTCGAGTGGTGGCGGGTTTTAACGACACATTTATATATTTACGCGATCTAACCCAAAAAAACCTCTTTGGATGATATTGGTCGCGAAAGCCCACGTGTTAAACTCCATTAATGAGTGTTTGACACAAGGGAATAAACCAAAGTACCTGGAGAGAAGATAGATTCAAGAATCCATTGTTATACTGTCACCTACTGGCCACCTTGAAAACCAAAGCTATTACACCTGGTATGGTCAGGCTCGTTCTCACCGATATAGCTGGCTTCGCCTCACACATCAGTCGCTCTCCCTCTCTCTCTCTCATAGAGAGGGAGCGAATACTGTGCACGTGAGAAGTTGAATTAATTACTGTATGATTAATAACCGGCCTGAAAGCCGCTTAGCTTCCGAAATATGATGAGATTGGGCATGCTCGGGTGATTGGATCATTGGCCAAATGTAGTGTGCACATGTAGCCCATCGTAATCATGAACCGTTCTCTATCCACTGCTGAATGGCAGCAAGGCTTCCTACACTGGAGAGGCTTTGTGCTGGTGAATGGGTGGCATGGTACCCAAGGGTCCTTATTTTTCACCTTGCATGCAGAGTTGTACATGGTTCAGTGGCTCAATTCCCACAGTCACCTGGTATTTGTGTTTGGTGCATTACAGCTTTTACCAGTTTGGACTGCTTTCTGTAGTTACTGGCCTATGTCAATTTGGATGAAGGCCTTCGCATGCTATATCAGTTATGGGGGCTGTTTGAATATACAGTACTTCATCATACTGCTGGTGAGCGTAGATCGGTGATGGGAAGGTGCGAGATCGATGCAGATATCACTCACGACTATTCAGAGTCATGGCTGGGAATCAAACCCAGGTTTCTGGGTTCATAGGCTAGTGCATTGAACATCACTCTCCCCTGCCTTCTGTATACCCATGTATATGTACACCCCTTTTGTTGATCCACTGCTGGATGAGGGCCTCCCCATTCCCTCTGGGTTAGGCAGTGGACATTAAATACCCTGATTCATTGTTCGCAGCTTTAGGCCATTTTTTAACCAGTGTAACAGCCCCATTGTCAACACAAAAATAAATGACCCAAAATGAAGTCTCAATGCAATTCTCCAGTGAGACCCCCACCTTGTATAATGCACAATCATTGATTAAAATTAATACAGAAAATCATGAATAATCTATTAAGCCATTGAATGATTTAGTTTTATATTATGATTCATTTTTCAAAAGTACAGGCCACGGCTGTATTCGCAAAAGCCCTCCCATCAACAGCAATTATACCCAGGCCCATCAAAGTCATTAGCTAATGCATTTATCCATATTTTTACTGTGTGTTTAATTTTTTTTTTAAATTTGCAGTCCCTTGTCAATCCACTGCTGGATGAAGGCTTCTCCTGCCATTGTGGATATGGGGTTGTTTGAATATACCCTGCCCCGATGGCCAGTGTAGGGTTGGTGAAGGCTGGGGGCCCAAGACCGGTTCAGATATCCCTTGCACCTGATGTTAGCCACGGCTGGGAATTGATCGTGGGTTACAAGGTTTATACCACAGCGTGCTAACCGATGTGCCACTACTGCACCACTACCTCCACGTGTATATGGCATATGATAATATTGTGTTTAAACTATTTTGTATTTTTTTTATTTTAGCAGGTAAGGCCCACTAAGCTATATATTTATTTTTCAGAAGCGACCTGGCCATAAATTATATCTCAATTAAGTGGCTTATCACGTGTAAATTTATAGCGGCCAAATAC